TGGCTCACGCCTGTAATCCCAGCACTTTGGGAGGCCGAGGCAGGTGGATCATGAGGCCAGGAGATGGAGACCATCCTGGCTAACATGGTGAAATCCCATCTCTACTGAAAATACAGAAAATTAGCCAGGCGTGGTGGCGGGTGCCTGTCCCAGCTACTCGGGAGGCTGAGGCAGGAGAATCGCTTGAACACAGGAGGCGGAGCTTGCAGTGAGCCGAGATGGTGCCACTGCACGCTAGCCTGGGTGACAGAGCGAGACTCCGTCTCAAAAACAAAACAAAAAACAAAAAACAAAAACGCTACTTTGGTGGGGACAGTATAAAGACAAAACAGTATTAAGTATTAGATAATAACAAAAAATGTGAATTGACTTCTAAGTATTGTTTTGGGATTGGCTGGATAAGATATGTTGTTAAGTATGCATATTAACAATTGAAAGGTAAATAGACAAATAATGGAATTAGAATGTATAGCTTCAAAGCCAGCAGAAGAAAATAAAAAAGAAAAGAAACACTCTGAAAGAAGGCAAGAAAGAAGAAACAGTAAAGAAAAATCATGATTAAAAGAAACACTAAATAAAATATTAGCATTAATTCCAAGTAAGTCAATAATCATAATAAATGCAAATGGATTGTCAGCCATCCATTAAAATGAAGACTAGCAGATCAAATTTTAAAAATATTTTACGGGCAATGCAAACATGATTGAATACATACACATATATATTCATACATGCATACTCTTATATATATATGTACAAATAAATCACCAAATCTTATTGCTACAATGCTGAGTTTAATGCCTTTGTCAAAGGTCAGAGTTGCAAAAGATCTGCCAAAGGTTACATCTGTCATCCACAGCAAGATGATGTGATATCTGCCCTGTTTGGGGACCTCTGAATGGTACACATGGTTTCCCCTGACTTAGTGATGGTGTATCATAGAAAAGCCTCAGTAAGAAGTAGGAAGAGGTATTATCATTTAGCTTCTGATGCTGAAGAGCAGCAAAAAATACCCATTTTAATTTGGTATGTAAGATCAACAATATGTTAAGCATAATACTATTGCACAAATAAATACTATCAGTGCCATAAGAAACAAAACACATTCTGCAACAAACAAAAGAAAATAAAACATTTTCGAAAAGTAACTTACATGATTCCTCTGTATTTTTCATTAATTAGTGATGTTGAAAGTAGTACAAATTTTAATGTTATAAATTGTTCAATAGATGATAAAGTTAAGAGTTAAGGGTTCTGTAGGCTGAGGCCATACAGTGCGTTTGGATATGCTGACGTGGAAGTGTTCTCTTGCATGTCTTACAGGGTGGAACATGTTTGAGTTGTGGGAAGGTCAATATTTACACATCCAATATTAGCTAAGCCCAGTGGTTCTCAAAATTATTTTGTTATGAGAATCATCTGGGGGTCTTTTAAATAATTTCAAAGACAGGCCACACCTCAGACCACTTAAATCACAATCTCTGTGGGTGGAACTCAGGCACTAGTATTTTTTGAAGCTGTCAGGTCATCCCAATGTTCAGGCAAGTTTGAGGACCAGTGCCCTAAAGAGAGTGAGAAAAGAAGAAACTTTGAAACTGAAACAGAAAGAGACTTGTGATTTAGGGATTCAGTGTATTACAGAAAGCTTAAACATCAGGCTAGTTGTAAGACATCTTGTCTATTTTTTTTCCAAGAGGCTTTCTTGCTTTTGACTTTCTGAACACTTCTTCACCCTGCCCCAAGCTAAAAAACTTAAATAACAAACGTTTAAAAATAAGGCCTAAGAGTCTCATTATAGTCAATTTACTCCTCTTAAGACTGTCCAAATTCATACATTTCCAAACCAAATGAAACACACACACCCTCATCCCCTGTACACCTGGTTCGCCTCTATTAGCTTACAGACTGATGATATCTGTTGGCTCTCTGAAGAAAATACCAGTCTTCGTTCTTCATGATTATGGTGTTGTGCATTAATAGCCATACACATCTTTAAGTTCAGAGGGCTCTTTGGGAGGTTGGAGGGGAGTGGAGAGAGACTGAATGAGCACAAGAGTGAACACTAGCTAGCTCACAGCTGGTTTACTGAATGTTTTTCTGCCACCTAATGGGCATTTTAGAATATGCTATGCAAAATTCATCTTTGTAATCAGTGCATGTCACACAGAGGGGTCTCAATAGTGAACAGCTTGGAACTCAACTTATTTACAAAAACCTTGGGAGAACTGCTAGCTTCACACCTAGATGTGGATGTTTTGTAAGTGATCTTCTTTTGGCTTCAGTTTAATTTTTTTTTTTTTTTTTGAGACACAGTCTTGCTTTTGCCCAGGCTGGAGTGCAGTGGTGCAACCTCAACCTCCCACAGGTATGTGCCACATACCCAGCCTTTCTTTCTTTCTTTTTTTTTTTTGGAGTTTTTGTAGAGATGAAGTCTTCCTATATTGCCCAGGCTGGTCTTGAACTTCTGGACTCGATCCTCCTGACTCAGCCTCCCAAAGTGCTGGGATTACAGGCATGAGCCACCGCACCCGGCTCAGTTTAATTCTTGAGAGCACTTCTACATTTTGTTTCTTAAAAACCCCAAATATAGATTATGAAGGATAGTTCCTAAGTATGTAATGTAATTAACAGGCCATATAATCTCTCTGACCTTTTAAATATTGTATTACTCCAGGGCTCAATGATTGGACTTCTTCTCTTTTCTATCTGCTTTCTTAATGATCTCCTTTGGCCCTATGGTTTTCAATACTATCCACACACAGATGATTATAACATTTATATTCTCCAGGTCAGACTTTTTCCCTGAATCTCACAGATCCAACTACCTGCTTGACATCTCTTCTTAGTTATCTAATGGACATCTCAATCCTAATTTGTCTAAATCTTTGCTCACGCTGTCAGTGCAACTCTCCCTCCATTCCCCCAACATGCACATACTCACACATTTACCTCTACTCTTCTGGCAGCCTTCTCATCTCAATAAATGGCAACTTCCAGTTGATTAGGCCAACTACACTAAAGTCATTCTTGGCTCTTCTTTAATCACACCTCACATCAAATCTGCCAGGAAATTCTCTTGGATATTTCTGGAATCATACTTTTCATTACTCCACTGCCACCACCCCGGTCTATCATCTCTCACCCTTGCTATCGTCTCTCACCTAGTTATTGCAGCGGCCTCCTAATTGGCCCCCTCCAGTCTATGCTCGAAAAGGAGCCAGAATTGTTAAATCCTAAGTGAGATCATGTTATTTATTTGCTTAAAACTCTCTAGTGGGTTCCCGTCTCACCTAGAATGAAAGCCAAAGTCCTCACAATGGCCCAAAAGGCTGTATATCTAACCCTTATGAGTTTTCTGATGCCATCTTGTACTACTCTCCCTCCACTGACATCACTCGAACCACACGGGCCTTCTTACTGCAATTCCTTGACCACACAGGTCCGCCTTCTCTCTCTGCAGAGAGCTCTGTGCTGGCTGCTCTATTAGTCTTTCTTTCCTTAGACTGTTTCCTTGCTCATTTCCAGTCTTTAACTCAAATGGAGACTATGCTGAGTTCCGCTTTCAAGGCAACCTCCCATTGCCTTCACCACCACCTTCTGCATCTTACCTCCTGTTTCATTTTTTCTCCTTAGCACTTACCAACGCGGAACACTTCATATTCCACGTGTCTCTGTCTTCCCTCTCCTCCCTGTCCCGCTCCTTGGCAGAAGGGGAGGGTTTTACCTGTTATGTTCACTGCTGTATCTTCTGCCCCTACAATGCCTTACACATAGCTGGAACTCAGTATTTGTTTAACAAATGAATCACACATGTAGTTAATGTTAATGGGTGGGAGGAGGTATATAACAGATTGGAAAAATAAGAGCAGACTTGTAACTGTCTTTCTTTCCTGCTTTAGAAATGACTATCTTCATTTAAGATTTTTCTGATTACATCTATCTACGAATCATTTCATTTTAATTAGCTCCTTCACTGAAACACAGCATTGTAATCTGTACCAAGAAAATAACACACTAGTTCTACATCTTGGCATTTAGTTTCAATAAGTAAATATACTATTTTAAGTATATAACACTTAAACATTTTTCTAGAGTTCTTGGCCATTTTCATTGATCCAGAAAATGTTTTCAAATGGACTATGTTAACATTCAGCTGAGAACTGACGTTGCGTCATTACACTGGAGCTAATGAGCGTTGCTTGCCCAGAGCTGCCGGTCCCCCTTCCTGCTTCCACCTTTCCTTCTTCCTGAGGTGGTTGAAAGGTCAAACCCCTGGTGAGAGGAGAGCCAAAGCCCCACTGTGCGCCTCAGATGCCGTTTCACAGCACAGTATTCACTGACATTTCTCTAGGCCCCTTCGCCTGAGGGAACTGGCCTGCTCCAATCAGTGACTTGCAGTGTGTGTGTCAGGGGCAAGGGCAGAGTGAGGAAAAATGTGAAATAAGAAATCACTGCTGTTCCTTGAGAATTACAGAGCATCACCTGGCAGGATTTTTGTATCCTTATTTTCAGTATTAAACCACACACATGCACCCCACTGCCTGCATGCCTGTCCCATTGTAGTGTTTCCCAACATTTTTTACATCATGGCAGATAGAGAAAATTGTTTGGAATTCTGGAGGCGACCAGCCTGGGAGCTCCAGCCACCTTAAGTGCTGCCCAGCTAGCCACCCAGAAGGCCTCGAGACAAACCACTTGAGAAGCTCTGCATTAGAGAAGCAAATTCAAGTCTGACATCTCAGGGGAGTGCTCTGAAAGTGACTATATAAGCTTCTACCAACCTCAAGAAAATCACAGGCATTAGATACATTAAATTGCTGAAATGATAGCTCTGGCTTTTTGAATATGCACAAATATAGTTTTCTGTTTTATAATTTGTCAACTCCCCTTCCAGATTAACTATTTTGATCCCTTTATTATTATAACAGTCTTAAATAAAAATTTAAATTTTAAACAAATTATTCAAATGTCAAATAAAATCTTTAGATACAAACTTAAGGTAACCCAAAGTGACATTCCAAGTTTATTTTACACACATTAAGAGATAAGAAAGGCAGTATTTTCTAAAGCATGATTACTCTAATTCTAAAAGAATTCTGCATATGGTTTTATTTCTGCATGCATTTATACAACGCTAAAAGTGCTGCCTCAAGTTTGCAAGGAATAAAGTTTTCTACAGATTATTGTACAATGATAAACTCTTTAGCTTAGCATACCATAGTACAAATAATGCATCATGTTGGATTTTACTAAGCATGAGACATAAACAGGCCAATCAAAATCCTTTGAGGTTAAGAAGTGATAGGTACCAATAAACATAAGTAGAAACCGAACAAATCAAGGAGTGTTGAATATTTAACGAACCCATGAAGCATAAAACAATTGATGCAAATGTATCTGTCATTTTATTTTTTTTGAGGCAGGGCCTCACTCTGTCGCCCAGGCTGGAGTGCAGTGGCATGACTATAGTTCACTGCACGTGCCACCACACTCAGCGAATTTTTTATTTTTTGCAGAGACAGGGTTTCACCACGTTGTCCAGGCTGGTCTCAACTCCTGGGCTCAAGCAATCCTCCTGCCCCAGCCTCCTGAAGTGCTGGCATTATAGGTGTGAGCCACCATGCCTAGTTATCTGTCATTTTAGAACATTACTGTGAAGAATAATTTTGCACTGTTTTAACTGTTACTGGCTTAGTAAGTATAAAAATATTTGTTGAAAATGAAAGATCTCAATGAAATTGTAAGTAAAATTACTTTTATTTTCATAAATAAAAAGATAACCCATTATACACTTTTAGCTGAAGTAACGTTAGTTGTCACTGCCAAGTATGAAATCCATGTAATAGTTAACAAATAGTTACATCTCTCTATAACCTTCATGCAACTTCTAGATATGTGATAATTTCCCCAAATTTCAAACATTTCAAAAAACATTATATATAATGGGATATTTTAGTCACAAAGTGTTACCTTTGCTGAGTCAACAAAATATTTATCTGCTCACGTCAAAGATGCCTACTGATGTAAAGTAATACCAGTATTGCTGTATTTTACAGAAGTACTAAGCATATTACATTTTCCATTTCAGATATGGTAGTATCATTCCCAAAATTGTCAATGTGACAATTTAGTAAGTAGATTAATAAGCACAAGTACCTAAGAGAAATAGGTCCCACAGCCAGAGAGTAAAGAGCTGGCATCAAGTACTGTTTAAAGCTTTGTCAGTAAGTGGCACACAACAAACAGACAAGTGATTCTGTAATAAAGACAACATAAAATAGAGTGAGATGTAATGAAGTATTTTTTCCATAGATACTGAAATAAAATTAAATGCCTGTTTAGTTATTACTCCACTTAATCCGGAAACTACAGCTTCAAATATTAATACTATGTTGCAAGCATTATTTAGTATTTCTATATGTTAAGGAAAAAACCTCACTGAATTTATGTACCTTTTTTTAAGGAGTGTAAACTATGATATATGATTTAAGTCATCACTTATTTGAATGCTATATTGATTCAGATTGGCATAATTACTCATTTTTCATAATGAAATGCGTATTCCTATTTCAACACTTTATGCAGATTTTATTTATTTCTCACAGGGCTGCTTTGTGGATTCAATAGCTTATCTATGTAAGTGTCCAGCACAGTATCTGGCACACAGTAAGCTTTTAGTGTATGCTACTTGTATTATTTATATTAAGTGAATCAATCTGTCACTTATAATAGAAAAATTATCTAATGACCCAGGAGAATAATCAAAAGATAAACCTACAGATGTGTGACTTCTGTTAAAGTATTACGCATCCAGTATTTCCCAAATTACATAATTGTTTAAAATGTTACAATCTATTTTTAAGATCATATTGTATCTGTATTTGTTCTCTGTTTTTGCTATGGCCTTTGGCCTAAACCAATACAATTCTGATAGGACATTATCAGAAAACCACATAAAAACAATATACACTGAAATCAGGTAACAAAGGCATCTTACTATAACTTCTTTAATAAAGAAGTAGAGTTACCAGTGTAATTCAGGACAACCTACTCATTTAAGTTTTTTCTTTACATCATGCAATATTTGACTTCAAAAAACATTTTCCATTCTGTCTTCTCATATATAAACATTAAGAGCTATTACAAAGTTCTGTCCTCTAAGTAAAAAACCCACTAGAAAAGATACTTGTAAAAATCATTGCAGGGTTACTGATACTGAATGAAGCACAGGGCTACTGGAACAGGGATAAGTTCTTGGATAAGGTCCCAACATACCTATAAAAACTGATTTTTTAGTAAATTATTGATTCTAACATATGTAAAGGATTTGGTGTGATAATTTTCTCATCTTTAAGTGACTTTTTATCCCCCACCAGAAAAGATAAATGACTGAGGATGTAAGTCTGTGCTCTGATTAACACAATGGAGAAATGGAAAAACTATCTCTGTTAAAAACTGATTCCTGTCATTATTCTGATATCAAGTAAGAGGAAGGAAAATAAATTTTTTTGTGTAGATAGAAAAACATATCTGAGACCAGGCGCAGTGGCTCACGCCTGTAATCCCAGCACTTTGGGAGGCCAAGGCGGGCAGATCAGCTGAGGTCAGGAGTTCGAGACTAGCCTGGACAACATGGTGAAATCACGTCTCTACTAAAAATACAAAAATTATCTGGGTGTGGTGGTACGTGCCTGTAATCCCAGCTACTAGGGAGGCTGAGGCAGGAGAATCACTTGAATCCAGGAGGCGGAGGGTTGCAGTGAGCCAAGATCGTGCCCCTGCACTCCAGCCTGGGCAACAAAGGGAGACTCCGCCTCAAAAAAACAAAAAAAAAGAAAAAGAAAAACATACCTGAAACCACATGATTTGGGCCTATATTGACCTGAAACTTATTACTATCCAGAGTTTAATAAAAAGACCCAACCCCCAAATATACCCTTTAGAGGCACAATAAAATCTTTCAAATGTTGTCCTGATTAAAAAGGAGAGGCTGAAAACAAAGCAAGAAACATCTCCACTGTATTAAAAATCAAGAACAAGTAAGCTGAAGGCAGATAACCCTCTGAATGTAATAGTTATTCTACAAGCTTCAGAGAAATCATTTTGAGAAATAAGAACTGAAATTCTGTGGTTTATCTTATCTCCTGTTAGAGAAATTCTAAGTGCAAACTGTATTTCAGGAGTATTTTAGGAGATGTAGCACCCAGTGTCCTTTTGAGGTTTGATATCTGGTTCTTTCACGGGTTTCACTTCTTCTTCTGGTTTGGGTTTAGTCTAGGGAGAAAAAACCACAGTTTAAGTACCTAAACTAAGATTGAGAAAACAAACACCAAATCTTTTCCACTTCAGACTTTTAAAAGATGCTATATTAAATTATATAACACGGATACTGACAAAGCTATTTCCAGAAACTATAGACCAATTCATTTTAAGATATAATCAGAAAACAACATTTCAGTAGAGATGAAAACCTAGTTAGGTAGGCAAAAATCAAAATACTGGTACTCCTACTCCACGCTCTTTTCTAAGTGAACTATCTATACATGTAGAACCCTAAAGCTTAGACATAACTTATGACAGTAATAGGCTGTCTCTTAGGGCATTATTTTATAGCTGAACAGAATATAGTTATTTTAAGGAATAAATTTTAATATGGAAAGGAAATTATATAAATACAACTCAATCTCAAGAAAAGAGCAATGGCTGTAAAATAATTCCTGTTCATTTGTCACAGATCCCTAGTCTTTTGGTAGTTAGACCTCAAAATTTCCACTTAATTTACCATTTGATTTAGAACACCAAGATGTACTTAGATACCAATAAATAAAAGCATTCTTATTTTGCCCCTGGATTCACAGAATACTGAAATTAGGCCAAATCTTCAAACACTCTGCAATTTGCTAAAACAGAGTATTGCCACAGCAATACAAACATGGATGATCTTTTCTCCCACATTCTTCTTAAAGGAGGCACTGACAAGTTGTAAAGAAGCAAGATAATGTGTTGAAAAGAATGTCATTATGTAGAAAATCAGAAGACATTTAAGGCTTAGAGGTCTTATCTCTGAGAGTGTTCTACCACAGATTACACTAAGCACTATAACTAGCTAACTTAACATTTAGACAAAGATATGTATCTATTTAGAGAAAAATATCAAAATGCGAACTGTGAATTTTCCTTTAAACTTCTGTGAATGAGAGAGAAAAAAAAAAATCTCATACACTGTCATCCTTGGGTCTTTTGGTGAGATCAAATGCAGCCAATGTTTCTGGTGTCCACTGAGCGCTTGTAGGAGGAAATTCGAAAGGTACAGGCTCTACGAGACCATAATTTGCTTTGAGTTCCAGCTGTGGGGCTTCTGTTGGAATTTTTTGAAAGTAACTGCAAAAAGTAATTTAAATAGCAATTCATTCATTTGTTCATTATTTGAGTGCCTAGTATGTTCAAGGTCCTGTTTGGGACAATGACAATTTAATGATGGATAAGAGGTTTTTCTGCCTCATGTAGGAAAGCGAAAAAGTCAAGAAATTTTGTCAATTACAATGCAATGCAATTGGAGCTACCATGTATGTAGAGTGCCATGAGAATGCAGACAAGGGGAATTAACCCAGAATTAAGTTCAGTGACTTCCAAAGGAAGTGATTAAAGATGAACTAGGCATGTTTAAGGAAGTGAAAAGCTCAGTATGACTAGATGAAGAATATAAGGGGAAGAGTGTAAGGAGATAAAAGCAGGAATGAGATTGAGTCTACCCACCTACACAGATGGTGATCTACAGTTTGAACAGCACTGATTTAATAATGGAAAACCTCTTGAAAAAAAAAAAAAAAACAAGAAAAACTGGAGAGAAAATTTATTTTCCCTCTTTATAGGTAGCTGAAACCAGAGTGAGATGAATATGCAAAGGAGGTTGAGAAGATATATTTAAAACATATGGAGGAAGAACGGCAGGGAAACAGAGTTCAGAGAAAATCAGGATACTGTGAGTGTCCTAATGAAGTGAACTCTATGTTAACAACTCATGTTTTAATTTTAAAGTCTGCTTTTATATATTATCCTCCTAAGTAGAATAAAAGGCCCTACACAATTGAACTTTATCACCAATTTAAAGAGAAAATTAATGTGAAATGTAAACACTATATATATTTGAGACAGTGCCTCACTCTTGCCCAGGCAGGAGTGCCATGACTCAATAATGGCTCAGTGCAGCCTTGACTTCCCAGCCTCAGATGATTCTCCCACCTCATCCTCCTGAGTAGCTTGGATTACAGACGTGTGCCACCATGCCCAGCTAATTTATTTGTATTTTCTGTAAAGACAGGTTTTGCCAAGTTGCCCAGGCTGGTGTCAAACTTCTGGGCTCAAGGGATTCACCCACCTTGGCCTCCCAGAGTGCTGGGATTACAGTTGTGAGCCACCACGCCTAGCCCATAAGTGCTATTCAGCATAAAACTTTTGGGAATAGAGACTAACAAAAATGGTATTACTAAAATATTAGTATTTTAATTATAAATCAATATCAATAATATTAATATTACCAAAATAATATTAAGCTGTACTCACATAAATCCATTTTCTCTCTGACATTTTTCTAAGGTGTTCTTCACAAGGTTTCCAAGTTTCCGAAAGAATAGATGTCCCGAAGGTTTGACTGTTGGTCCAGGTCCTTTGGTTTCTCCATATTCTTTACACAGTGCTTCTGCCTTTGCATACACTGCATGTGAAAGAGATATAAAGTCTTTTGATTATAATTAACATGGCCCATTTATCCCTATAAGGCTTTAAAGTGGAGGTGGTAAGACATTTACTGCTCTTTACCTAATATAATAGCAATACCAATAATAATACTGTAAGTAGAAGCTGTGGATTTTCTACGGTTCTAGGTTTTTGAAAAATTTTTTCTTTTCTCCAATTACGTCACCCATTCCCATTTCCCTTTCATGAACTCAGCCAAAATCTCTTTAAGCACATATTCCCTTTTGTGATAAAGTCATTTGTTTTTTAAAGGGGAGTTAATATTCTGGCAGGAATACTCACATTTTTCTGCTTCTTGGAGAGACCTGATTGCTTCACCGCACTTATCACTAGCCAATAAGGTCTCACCATGGTAACAGTAAGCCTGATGAAATAAACAAATTTTTATTCATTCTCTCCCTTCAAGATGCTTTCCCCTATGACTGTTTTACGTATCTATCAGATAAATTAGTACCTTCACACACTTAAGTATCAATGCAATCCCTTACATTTCTTTACTTGAGTAAGCTCTTCTCCAACCTTTGTTCATAGAAAAGGTGGAAATATGTCAAGTCTTGAGCCAAAACAGCCTTCTAACCATGTACTGAGCAAAAGTTATCTGCCGAAATCTGTATTTAAAATTAGGAAATAGTAGATAAAGGAGGAAACTGTGCTAATGCAGAGGAAGAAGGAGGCATAAGAAATATTATCTACTCAGACCTGAAAAAGGTTTCGATGATCTCTCATATGATACTCTAATTAACAAAACAATTAAGTTTGGTGTGTATAACAGACTGATATGTAACTTCCAAAATGATGTTTATTGATGGTTCTTCACTAAGCTAGGTGATATATTGTGTGGTATGCCTTAATATTAGAATTAGTAAATATGTTTCTCAATGCACAGAATGAAACAATGGAAAGAATTTCATTAAGTATGCTGAAAGTGGGTTTTGAATCAAACAATAATTCTATTGCTATAATCCACTTCTACAATCCTACATCATCTCTTTCCACCCACTTTAGTTCACAATGGTTGCACTGACTCTCAGTGAACATTTACTGAGAGTTAGCTGTCCATTATTTGTAAAATGCTAATGAAAGACTCTGGTGAGATGAGAGACCTGGCACTCCAAGGACTGGAGAAACAATAATTTACATTGTTTTTAGCATTATGAATACTTACATAAGCTGTGTAGAAACACATCTTCAAGTGAAGATATTTTCTCCATTTGGCAGAATATGCAGGCTCCAAACTGGATAAAGTATGATCTAAAGTTACATTTTAAAAAGCAAAATATAATTTCATCCTGATTCACTAGAAGACTTTTAGTTCATGTGTTCTGATGATAAAAGCAGAAAGAATGCCATTCGAGTCTAAAACTCAATAATTTAATTTTTTTTTTAAAAAAACACCTTTACTTGATTTTCTCAAATCTATACTTTCAGTTACACATGATTGATTAAATACTATAGCAGCTCTTTGATTTGATGGTTAATACAACTTTAAGTTAAAGATAATGATAAAAACAGATTGTGACCAAGAACTTCAAAGTGAATACTGTTTATACCGTTATATTAGCTAATTTAAAAAACGTATATAATATAGCAAAGCAAATAGTAGACTAGTCACTCAAGTCAGAAATAGGATACTCTCCTCTCCACCCCATCACTGAATTTTATATAAAACACACACATATTCACTCACATATCCTTCTACCAAACATCTCTCAAATCTCTTTTTTCCTATTTGCTACTTTGCTGTATTTGCCAAAGCTTTCATCATTTCCTTCATAAACTTGAAAAATTTCTTAAGTGCTAAGTTAAGTTAGCCTATTACTCCTTCATGGAGCAAGCCTATCTCTAATACTGCAACTATAGGGACCTTCCTTAAATTCAAATCCAATCAAGTCAGCCTTTTAGTATTCTAACAGATCCCAAGTGTCTACAGAATGAAAGGTCAAAGGCTTACAAACCAATGTTTGATTCCCAAGCAAGCATACTTTTTCAAACTTTCTCCTACCACTCATCCTGTGTTTCAGGTAAGAGCAACTGTCTGAAGTTTCCAGAATGTGCTAAGTTCTTTCTTATGTCTGTACTTACTATAGAATTCTGCACCCAAACTCTAAAGCTTCCTAGGGAACATAAGATTTTTATTTACACTTCACAATAAGACTAAAGCATCTTCTTCTAGAGTCCTTCTCTAGCATGCCCAGCTTGTTAAGGTTCCTAATTCACTGCTGTGGTGTCTTACTTCAGGATTTAATAATGGGGTGACATGTTCTTCTTCCCTAAACTGCAAATCTTTTCTATTTACCTCTCCTTAGCAACAAAAACAGTAACTATCCCATAAATAAAAACACATGCATGTTTCCTAAATAAGTAAATGAAGAGTAATAGGCTTATCACAGTAGCTGTGTTCTATGCCCAATCTCCCAATTTCTAGCAGTTAAATTATGGGTCATGTTAACTCTCTGGATTTCAGATTCTTGTCTAAAGCATAGTAACTATAAGATTGTTATAAAGACCAAAACAAATTTTTAAGCCAAAAAAGCTGTATAATTTTATTAGACATCACTGGTTTTCCCTTCCATTATAAGTTATGCAGCATACTAAATATGAACAGCTCTATTTTAAATGCGATAAAGTATTACTCCAGTTTTGCAAATAATGACAGAATCTGAGAAACCTTTTGTTTTGTTCCCTATTAATTCAAGATCAAATACATCTGAAAAGCTAAAGACTAAAAAATGTAACAACAGAATTAGAAGCTTACCAGCTTTTTGATAGAAATTGGCTGTTTCATACGCCAGTGCAGCAATTAGTCCAGGAGCATGTTTTAGTTCAATTGCTCGAGCAATTGTTACTGTAACCAAACACAATAAAGTGAATCTATAATTAAGTTCACTCTATTCATCCTAAATTCAATTATAATAGCAAAAGACAGTCTGACAATCTCTCTGGGATTTTAATACAGTTTGTTAAACGTTTTAACATGCAAAGTTATAGAAAATGCAAACATTAACAAACAAAAAACACTGAGCTTGTTGGTTCTGATGCTATTTCTTTAAATAAATCATCAGTGAATTACTAGCTAATCACAGAGAATCACTACTACAAAACAGCATGACCTAACAGCAAATTCTTTTTTTCAAGACAGGGTCTTGCTGTCACCCAAGTTGGAGCACAGTGGCTTGATCATGGCTTACTGCAGCCTCAAACTCTTGGGCTCAAGTGATCCTTCTGCCTCAGTCTTCCAAGTGGCTGAGATTACAGGTGCATGCCATGGCACCTGGCTAATTTCTTTTTCTTTTTTTTTGAGATGGACTTTTACTCTTGTTGACCAGACTAGAGTGCAATGGCGTGATCTCGGCTCACCGCAACCTCCACCCCCCAGGTTCAAGCGATTCTCCTGCCTCAGCCTCCCGTGTAGCTGGGACTGCAGGCATACACCACCATGCCCAGCTAATTTTGTATTTTTTAGTAGAGACAGGGTTTCTCCATGTTGGTCAGGCTGGTCTTGAACTCCCAACCTCAGGTGATCCGCCTGCCTAGGCCACCCAAAACACTGAGATTACAGGTGTGAGCCACCACCACGCCCAGCCAACTGGCTAATTTTTTAAATAACTTTTTGTAGAGATGGAGGTCTTGCCATACTGCCCAGGCTGGTCTCAAACTCCTGGGCTCAAGCAATTCTCCTGCCTCGGCCTCCCAAACTGCTGGGATTACAGGCGTGAGCCACCAGCCCAGCCATCTTCAGAGGAACACTAGAGTTTGAAATAAAGAAAAACAAAAGCCTACAAAGTTTCTTAACTGTTTCACGCTGAGTGTCATTATTACTTGCCATTGAAAGGTGAAGACTTTAAGGTAAGCCAAAGAGTGAAAGAGAAAAAAGAATGAGCACAGGAGAGAGAGAAAAGACGAATTAAAGAATTAATGTTGTACTGTCAGAAATAACGTGAAATCAAAATCCTCTTAAAAAGAGCCATTAAACTGTAGGGCCTTTTCCTGCTAACTAAGAGTGAAGGCAAATGCTAAAGGTAAACTTATTCCTCATTCAAAAATTTCTCAAAATCTAAAACCTGATTCTAGTTAATTCTGATTTTTATTTATTAATTAATTTTTTTGAAACAGGGTCTCACACTGTTGCCCAGGGTGAAGTGCAGTGGCATGGTCTTGCCTTACTACAGCTTTGACCTCCCAGGCTCAAGCCATCCTTCCCATCTCAGCCTCATGGGAAGCTGGGACTACATGCATGTGCCACGATGCCCAGCTAATTTTTGTATTTTCTGTAGAGCTGGGGTTTTGCCACATTGCCCAAGCTGGTCTTGAACTCCTGGGCTCAAGTGATCTGCCCACCTTGACCTCCCAAAGTGCTGGGACTACATGCATAAGCCACAGTGCCCAATGTCTGATTTTTAAAGAGGAATTAAATGACAATATAGACTTTCATTTAAAAAAATCTTACAATATTTAGGATACCTTCTTGAGCTTCAGCCTGACATTGAATAACGTATGCTTCTATGAGCCGTGACTCTAAATCTCTTCCTTTTTCTGCAGGTGTAATGAGTTTTGGGGTATGACTTTCCTGAGAACAACGACAAAAAAGACAAAAAATAAAGCAGCCAGATTTCATTTTAATCCAGTTGTTAGAGATGAAGAAAATGAAAGTTACAAGACATTCAATTTGGATGCTTAGCAGAAATTCCGGGTATAAACAAAAACTATAAAAACTTAACAACAGTGAGCTTATAAAGAATAAAAGTTCCTGTGTACTAAAACAGCTTTTATAAGAACAAGAAATTCAAGAGCAAAATTTAAGTCATGATAGATTGCTGAGATACCCAAGTCACACTATCATCTTGAAAAACATTAACTGAAATAGTAACCAAAATTCCTTTTGCGGGATAGCCTGAAATGTTCATTCACATTAATAATTAAAGATATAAAGAGGCTGGGTGCGGTGGCTCATGCCTGTAATCTCAGCACTTTGGGAGGCTGAGGTGGGCGAATCACAAGGTCAGGAGTTTGAGACCAGCATGGCCAACATGGTGAAATCCTGTCTCTACTAAAAAATACAAAAACTTAGCTAGGCGTGGTGGCGGGCACCTATAATCCCAGCTACTCAGGAGGCCGAGGCAAGAGAATTGCTTGAACCAGGAGGCAGAGATTGCACTGAACCAAGATCACGTCACTGCACTCCAGCCCGGGCAACAGTGTAAGACTCTGTCTCAAAGAGAAAAAAAAAAAACCACTACAATTCTACATCTAACTCAGGATCAGAGTTTTCTAATCACTATAAAAAGCATCTTATTTTAACATGAAAAAACTTAATACTGGCCTCTAGGAGGCCTTCAATAAAGTGATTTAATTAGAATGAACTGGGGGGACATTGCTTAAAAAACACGATATTCTTTCTCCTAATTCCCATCACATCTCCCGGCAATTTAATATAATTAGAGTGCACTGATTGTCCCTCTAATGTTTTTAGTGAGATACAGAGAATACAATCAGAAGTTCAGTTTTGCAGAATCAGGACTAATCCTGGTAACTTCTGTGGAGAGTAATGAGGTAGGTAAGAACCATCAATACTTCTGCTTTCTTTTCTCCTATGTTTTCAAGAACACAGAAAAATAAGCAGAGCACTAAAACTTTAGTTTTCTAATTATAAAAGTCACTGGTGATTTTAAAACAAAAATGGAGACATTTAATATTTAGTAACTGGCTGCACTCATCAGTAACATACTTAACATAAGGTAAACAGAACACATAGTACCTTTTTTAGTATAATGAAACAATTCTTTCCCCATATCCCCCAAAAAGAAAAATTACTCAAGAACTAAAGCATTAAGAACAAATAATGGTTTTTGTTTGTTTGTTTTACCTTTAAATGTTTAAAAATCCCAGCTGCAATCTTTAGGCTTCGATGAACTTCTTTTGCTTCATCTTCTGTTATACTTAAAGATAGGGGTTACATTAGTTAGAGGATGAATTCCATTTCTGGTATTAAAACACAACAACCAATACATTATTATATATCCAAAGTAGTCATTTATGTTTCTCACTGCTAATTTTCTTCCTTTTAAAAAAATCTGATTTTGAGGCCAGGCAGGGTGGCTCACGCCTGTAATCCTAGCACTTTGGGATGCTGAGACAGGCAGACTGCTTGAGGCCAGAAGTTTGAGACCATTCTGGCCAACATGGCAAAACCCTGTCTCTACTAAAAATACCAAAATTAGCTGGGTATGGTGGCAGGCACCTATAATCCCAGCTACTTGGGAGGCTGAGGCACGAGAATCACTTGAACCCAGGAGGCGGCAGTTGCAGTGAGCCGAGATCGTGCCACTGCACTCCAGCCTGGTCTGGTGACAGAGCAACACTCCATCCACCCCCCACCAAAAAAAAATTAATTTTGACACCTAGAAAAGGAACAAATACACATGAAATGTACATTTATAGAAAACTCGTAACAACTGTAAAGGATTTTGAATGCCAAGCCAATCAGTATTCCACAAAAAAGTCTTGAAAACAAGTATATGACATAAAGGTAACATTAAGATGGCAAAGTCTATCAATATGTCTCCAAAATGAAGACACTACAAATGAAAAACAAGTATACGACATAAAGGTAACATTAAGATGGCAAAAGTCTATCAGTATGTCTCCAAAAAGAAAACACTACAAATGAAAAAAGAGAGACGCTAACTAGGGGTAAAATCTGCAGGCAGGCATGGTGGATCATGCCTGTAATCCCAGTACTTTGGGAAGCCAAGGCAGGAGAATCACCTGAAGCCAGGAGTTTGAGACCAGCCCAGGAAACATAGTGAGACCTAACCTCTACAAAAAAACAAAACAAAATAAAATCCGGACAAAGACTTCTTATTTTTCCTTACAGACATTTGTACCTAATTTTTAAGACAAAATATTACATACTTAACGCATATATATGCTTAAGAAACACATAGATATACAATGGTAGCTATAATCATTACTCTGCTCTTATTTTAATCACCTACTTTACTTTAAGAGATAATTTTACAACAGCACATACAATTTGACATCATTTTCAAGTGGTTGCATATTGTTTCCACGTATGGATGAACCATAAATTGAGTTTCCTATTGCTGTATCAACTATTGCTATTATAAAAATTGTATCACCTTTTATAATTCTTTAATCCTTCAAAACATCTTTTCACATACTATTAGCCTTCTGTATTTGTTTTCTGTGAATTGCCTGTTCATGTCCTTTGCTTTTCAATTGATTTGACGGTCTTTCCTTTGCTGATTTATGAGAGTATACGTTATAAAAACAATGTATCATATGAATTGCAATGTTTTTGACCAATCTTGACATTTGTTTTTTAACTTTGTTTATGGTCCTTTGATGTAGTTAAATAGTCATGCTTTTACTTTATGGTTTCTAGATTTGGGGTCTTACTTAGCAAGACCTTCCATATGACAAGACTATTAAAATTTATTTTACCTCTTAACACTAGGTGCCGTAATTCTGACACTCAAAATGCTAACATTACAAGGCAATCCTTCACATGTCCAAAGTGGTACTTTTTAAAATAGATTTTTAAAATAATGAAGCACCATATACTTGAAAAATAACACAGATGTACACAATTCTCTCCTTTTAACTTACTTTTCTTTTCCAGCCAGTCTTGAAGCATATTTGGTATACCATAAAGCTACATTAAATCCCATGGAAATTAATTCAAAAACAGCATCCTGCTGGGCACTGGAATTATAAACACGGATCATTAGGTTCTGTCAATTATCAAGACATCACACCATGAAGCCTATTGGACAAACGACTCAAAAGTACAAAGAAGTATATGCTAACTGGTATGTATGAGGAAAATGGCTGTGTTTCATACAGATGGGGAGATAAGACATACAGGTAATTAACTACAAATGCCTAAGTATAATGGTCCAGAAGGTACTATGTACTTAATAATAAGCATGGGAATAGGAGTTCCCAAAGTTTACTGTACATAGAGTAGCTTTTTAAAATACAGATTTCTGGGCCTTATCAGAAAGCCTGAGATGGGGCTTAGAATCTGTATTTTTAACAAGTACTCAGTCGATTCTCAAAGGTGTGGCTCTTATACAACATTTTAGAAAAATCAAATTCAGAAGATTGTTTCAGGCTAGAATAATTAAGAAGGTTTAATGGTATATATAAAATCTGAACTGTCCCTGGAAAGACGACTAGAAGGGAAGCAAAAGGACATTCCAGCTAAGGAAACAATGCCATCAAAGCACAAGAGGAGTATAAAAATTTTTCAGATAGAAGTGACCCAATGAGCTTGATTGAAGCAGATGGTATGTAAACAAGAAATGAAGGAAAAGAAGGGCAAAAAGAAAGCTGAAGGCAAACAGTGTAAGATTCTGAATGCTTAGCCAATCAGTATTCCAGAAAAAGGTCCTGAACACAAGTATATTTTATACCTTGTTTGTTTGCTTCAGATTCTAAGTATGAAATAAAGATGGCAAAAGCATATCAAGCAAGTAAGATATTCATAATATATATTCACTACTGTTCTTAGAAGAACCTGAAAATTTTTTACACATGATCTCATTTATCTCAACTGATGAAGAAAGCAGAATATTCTTATTTTACACATGTAATACTAAGATACAGAAAAGCTGCCCAAAAAGAAGAAGAAACCAGAATTATCGCTCTAGTTTTTATTTTTTAGTTACTTGTTGCCCCTGTCTTAAGAGAAATGGAGATATGGCAACTTTTTAAATGAAAAAAAAAAAAAAGTGTTATATGTAGTAACTAAAATATAACGTCTAAACTATCGTTTAGTATAGATTATAACATCCAAAAATGACAGTTATGAACAAACTTCTCAAAACAGTTTTATCCTCCTGAAAAAAATTTAACACATAGTGTAATGGTTTATTCTTTTCTGCATGGAAACTATTAAATGAATTACATCTGGAGATCTAGTGGACATGTCTAATTTATAACTTTACCTTTAAATAATATAACGGTTTGGCTAATTTATGTGAAGTCTCATAAATAACTCTCTTCCTTTATAATCCTTCATTTATGTCAACATGCCTTGTTTCCAAACACTCCATTTCTATGACACCACATAAAAGTAGTAGTCATAGCATCTATAATGGAAAAAATATTTTTCAGAACAGATAAACTCACAACATGATTTCTACTGAGTAAGTAGCAATCAAGAATAAAGTAATTTAGAAGTCTCACTTGTGCAGAATATTTAGTATTAAAGTCTTCATCACATAATTCTTCACGATCTCATAACGCTACTGAAAAAAGGTTAAATAGTAGTTCACTTTTTTCTTTCTTTCTTTCTTTCTTTTTTTTTGAGATGGACTCTCACTGTGTTGCCCAGGCTGGAGTGCAGTGGCAGTGGCGTCATCTCAGCTCACTGCAACCTTGGCCTCCTGGGTTCAAGCGATTCTCCTGTCTCAACCTCCCAAGTAGCTGGGATTATAGGCACCTTCTACCATGCACAGCTAGTTTTTGTATTTTTTAGTAGATACGGTGTTTTACCACGTTGGCCAGGTTGGTCTCGAACTCCTGAACTCAAGTGATCTGCCTGCCACGGCCTCCCAAAGTGTTGGGATTATAGGCATGAGCCACTGTACTCGACTTTAGCTCACTACTACACGGAAGCAAAATGTGGCATGCTTGGAAAAGTGCCAAATTCATGAAATGCACACATTATAGAATCTGTCAGAATAATGACAGAGGTTTGATTCTTTAAAAAAGTCTTAATTCAAAAAAATTCCTTAATTTTGGATTAAAAACAAATGGGTCACATTAAAAAACAGAAAACAAGGTCTTAGAAAATCTGAGTATCCCAGAATATTACGAATTCTACATAAAATATTCCCAAGGAAGGAAGGAAATGAACATTTAATGAATGTCTTATTTAATGAATGTCTTATAAGCCTAGTACTGTTATCAGTCACTTAACAAAAATTTTCTTATTTTGCTTCTCACAAAATACTGTATCTGTAGCCCCAAGATACAGTTGAAGAAGCAGATGTTCATGCAGTAGAAAACCTGGACTTGCATCTAACTATGTACAAACCCAGTGTTCATACTCTTTCCACTGTAATGTATAGCCTGCTCTAGTCTTTCATCAACCTCCACTCCTTCCTTTCTGTTTTTATAAAATAGTAATTCTAAAGCAAATTGAGATTAAAATATATGGGCATTTAAACAACAAAATGGTGTTGAAAAACAGTAGGTAAGTAAAAAATTAACATCTTTATGATCTATTTCCTGTTATAATTAAACCTATTAGAAATAGTTTCAAGTGAGTGATAAGCTCTGAAGAGAAGTTTTTAAAAAGAGTAGAAATAGGGAAGAGAGATAAGGAAGAAAACACATCCTGTGAATCAAGAGTATAGAGTTGGAGAGAAAGAATGAGACAGAGAAAGACTAATGGAAGACACATGACGTATCCATCAGCAAAAGAAAAGTAAGGGAAAAACTTAAATTCTGCTCAGCTTGAATGTAGGCACATACAGTTTGGGTTCCAAATCCTCAAATCATCCTTTGTGTGTTATTAAAGGTCAAGGCTGTTCAACTATAGTTGACATTTGTATTGATTACCTCAAAAATAGATTTGTTTGGGAGAAACAAATTATATTTTTACTTACTATGTACTAGGATTGAGCTCAAATTATTTTAATTAATTTCCTGGTAAGAGAAAATGCAGACCTGTATTTTTCTTCTCCAAATACAGAGACTATGAGTTAACCACTGGCTACACAGTTACAAAAACTGGCTCCAATTTAGTACTACCTTAGTGTTGCTTACCTTGGAACCTGTCCTTGTAACGTATCAGTCCACTTGAAATTTTGAATATATCGTAACTTGCTTTCTTGGGTAGATTCATCCAAAGAATTTATGAAACCTACAGAAAGTACAAGACATTTTAGTTTTAGAAGAAATATTGAGTGTTCTGTTTGGAAAAATTTTCAGATTACTTTTCCAGGTGTCTGAATGAAACTTCTTGCCCTTTTCCAAAGAATATAGTCTGGAAGAGTAAACTAATCAAATTTGAAAAGTCAAAGAATTAAATGTAAACTTCTAGACAGTTTTTTAAAAAACCTCAAGTTCATATGAATAACTAACCTTGTAAAAGTGAAAAATATGAATCTGCTGCATTCTTCATCATTTCTGGATTACAGCTCAAATCAGTGAACAGTTCAAGGAGTCGTGCCCTGGATGACCTCAAGTCACTTATAAGAGAGAGAAAAAGACAGTAAAGTTAGCTGTACTGCAATCAATCTCACATAAAAGTGGTTTCCAGGTTTCAGTGTAAAAGCTTTAAAACACACACACACACACACACACACACACACCAGGTTTCAACGTAAAAGCTTTAAAAAGCACACATGCATGCACATGCCCACCTCCTCTAAGGGATTACCAAATACACAGAAATGAATTTAATTAGAACTAAATCTAGAGAAAAAATTTCTAATAACTGTTTTAAAAGTTGTACGAAAATAAACTCAGACCAATTAAAGAGGCAAATACTAAATTCAATTACATAATAAAAATGTATAGCAAGTTTTCATTAAAAAACAAACAAATGCATGCATTTAAGATGTGGGGAAAGAAGAATGAATAAAAAACTAAGCAGTTCACAATAAGTTTCCTAAAAAATGAAAATTTATCTGTATATCATTTTAATATCTCCTTAAAGTTTCTAAATCTGACATAAAACACAAAAATGTGAAAATACACTGCATAAAAATATTTAAAAAATAAAATTACATTATATATAATTACATATTCTTGACGTATAATTCAATATATACATCAAGAATATGCAAAACATGTGGCCATTAGTTGTTTTAAAACTGCTCCCTAATCTATATTCTCCTTTACTTCTCTACAGCAATAAATGTTGTAGATCCACTTTTTCCTTCTTGAAATTATTTCTCCTTTGATTCCAGTAACACCAAATTTTCCAGGTGTTCCCCTTATCATTTTAAAGTTCCTTTTATATTTTTTTCTGTGTCTCCTTTTCATTCCCAACTCCAGAAATGTTCAGTCTTTGGCTTTCTGGTTTTCTCTCTTTTGAGATCTCATTGATTAGTATAGCTTCAACTGTATCAATTCCTAGCTCTCCATCGTTAGCTTTCACTTGGTTCTATTTCAGTTCCAAATCGAATTCAGAAGGCAATTAGCTTAGTGAGGCTTCCGAAATTACAATACATGGATATGACCAAAGACCCTTGAAATATGTGTAAACCATTAAAGAAAGACTAAATTTAAATGGTAAGCATCAACAGAGTAGAGGCTGTATATCCAGAATTGGGTAGGTGCCTAGGATAAAGCACATATTCAAAATTACTTGTTGAGTGGAAGAATACTAACTTTTCAAATATTTTCTTTTGAGATTTAGATTAAGGTAGCAGTGGTGTTTAGAAGAGAGCACAGACTTAATCCTGAATGGTCTAGATGTAGTACTTATTCATTGGTACTAACTCTAAGGAGGCTTATTCCAAGAAGTGTATGTATGTATTGCCAATTACAAACAGCTGACTGAAAATGTGACTGGCTATCTTATGAATTAATCATTGTTTGAGGTATATCTCTAGAAGCTGGAAAGTGATTCAATTCCTGGACTAGGCAGAAATTTGAATCCTTAAAGCCTATTCTGCACTCAAATAGTTTGCTAGCATTTCCATATTGATGCTTGATCATCACCTACAGCTCAACTTGTAAAGTTCGATTCATCTTAAATTACAGAATTTGAGAAAAATGTACCTCAGATATATTTAATTGAGGCTGTTCATTTTATAGATTAGTAATTAGGCCCAAAGAAGTTAAGGGACTTGCCCAATGGTACAGATAAAACAGCTAAGCTGGGACTTGCCTCCAGGAGTCTAGATCAGAGGTTGACAAACTACAAACTGTAACCAGTTTTTGTATACTCCACAGCTTATTTTTGTTCAGTCCTCAAATTAAGAATAGTTTTTACATTTTTAAAAGGCTTGTAAAAATGAACAAAGAATAATATGCAATAGTGACTGCATGTGGACCACAAGGCCTAAAATAAATACTATGCAGCTTTCAAAAAAAGTTTGAGGACCATTGGTTTAGATTAATAAGCCGATTATCCTATCTTTTGTTGTAATCACTTCTTCCCATAAAAGCGGCAAGTCTTCAGATTTTCCTTTATTGGTACCACCAATGTCTTAATCATTTAGGTTCTGTATCTCATATAGACTGAATCCTTTTCAGCCTCCCAAGGCAAATTAGTCAATCAGGTCCATTGACTCCTCCTTCAACACATCTTTTGCATTTATCGCTTTCATTTCAGCCAAACTGCTCTACTCACTATCACTAGCACAAAGGTATTCCTGACAGAAATAACCTTCTCCTTTCCCCTCTGACAATCTAAATCAAGAATACCCAAATATTTTTTTGGAAAGCACCAAATAGTAAACATTTCAGGCTTTTCTGGTAATAAGGTATCCATTGGAACTATTAAATTCTGGTGTTGTAGAGGAAAACAGCCAGAGGCAACCATACACAGTATGTCAATAAATGTGGGGCTGGTTGTGTTCCAATAAAAACAAGCAATGATCCAAATCCATAGGACAGTTTTGTCAACTCTTGATCTAAGCCATACAATTCATTTAAGGCCTATCACAAGTACTTTTTCCTATGTGAACACTTTGAAGGCATTTCAGGTCATAGGGATCTCTCCCTACTCTGAAGTCAAGAAGTTTAATATGTGGCCAATTTAAAATGTCCCTATACAGCTGGGCATGGTGGCTCACGCCTATAATCCCAGAACTTTGGGAGGCCGAGGCGGGTGGATCACTTGAGGTCAGGAGTTTGAGATCAGACTGGCCAACATGGTGAAAACCCGTCTCTACTAAAAGTAGAAAAATTAGCAGGGCGTGGTGGCGGGTGCCTCTAATCCCAGCTACTTGGGAGGCTGAGGCAGGAGAATTGCTTGAATTGCTTGAACCTCTGCCAGGAGGCAAATGTTGCAGTGAGCCAAGATTAAGCCATTGCACTCCAGCCTGGATGAAAAGAGTGAAACTCCATCTCAAAAAATAAAAACAAAAATAAAAAATAAAAATTTTCAAACACTACTTTGTGTAGTCTCTTGTACTGTTGTAATACACAGATTAACTGTTTTACTATGATTGCTTTAGCCTCTCTGGGACTCATTTACTGATCTAAAATTAAGGATCCAGGGCTAGAAGACTACCAAAGTTTAAATAATCTATGATTTAACTGTTTACATGTCATTTATAAATTTATAACGAACTTAAAGTTAGAAACAGTGTGTTACATATTTTTGTATTGCCCATGGAACCAAAAAAAGTACCTTGCATCTAAGAGTGGTTTAATCAATAAACTTACTTGCATATTTTTGAAGCAGAAGGGCCAGTGACTACACCATAGTAATTAAAAGACACAGGAGCTGTGGCTTTTAATGGGTTCCTATGAAACCAATGGGTCATTTTCTCCGGATGTTTTCTACAGACAAAAAAGTAAAAAATGTACAAAAATTAAATATAAAATATTTAATAAACAAGGTAAATAGTATAAAAATTTATTTCAATAGTATAAAAATCTAATTCAAAAATTAGCCTGGCTAATTTTGTATTTTTAGTAGAGACGGGGTTTCACCATATTGGCCAGACTGGAATGAAACTCTTGACCTCAAGTGATCCACCCGCCTCGGCCTCCCAAAGTGCTGGGATTACAGGCGTGAGCCACCGCGCCCGGCCTCAGGTATGTTTTGTCTATTTATGATGGTCTATGTTCAAACCAGGCCTATAAAAAAAAGAACAGCATTTGAAAATCTGCCCACAATAACTTCAATCTTAACATACCTATATAGGAGCAGTAATGTTTAAACTCTAACATACATAAAAATCACCTGGGGGTGGGTGGTTTTGTCAAATGCAGGCTCTAAGTCATTAACCTGGGGCAGGACCTGAAATGCTGATGCTGCTGGTCCCCACACACTTCTGAATAGCAAAGTACTAGATTCTGAATAGCAGTTGGACAACTGCAAGTAAAAAGGGCACAGGACCAGATGAATGTAATTTCCAAAACGGGTTCAAATGGTAACCCTGATTATATTGCTGAGGCTACTTGTAATAAGTTTCAAGTTAATTGCTGTATTTCCGACATATTGCTGACAATAGTGGATTGGTTATAACATGTGTTCTACAATAAAATGTACTTTCCAAAAAATATCTAAAGAATATTCTTAAAATAAAAATGTAATACAATACTTGACCAATAAATTCTATTATAAAATGGAAACACTGGGCTGGGTGTGGTGGCTCACGCCTGTAATCTCAGCACTTTGGAAGGCCGAGGTGGCTGGATCACTTGAGCTCAGGAATTTGGGACCAGCCTGGGCAACTTGTTGAGACCCCGTCTCTACAAAAATCAGCCGGGCATCGTAGCCACGCCTGTGGTTCCAGCTACTGGGGAGACTGAGGGGGGAGGATCCCTTGAGTCCAGGAGATGTAGGCTGCAGTGAGCCCTGATCTCCCCATGGCACTCTAGCCTGGGCGACAGGGCAAGATCCTGTCTCAAAAAAGGAAAAATTAAAAAAAAAAAAAAAACTACCTAAGTGAGATGCCAACTCAAAAAAAAAAATTGAAGTTCCATACCCTCTACTTAAAAAATAAATGAGCGGTGGCTCACGCCTGTAATCCCAGCACTTAGGGAGGCCGAGGCAGGAGGATCACACAAGGTCAGGAGATCGAGGCCATCCTGGCTAACACGGTGCAACCCCATCTCTACTAAGAGTACAAAAAAAATTTGCCGGGCATGGTGGCAGGCGCCTGTAGTACCAGCTACTCAAGAGGCTGAGGCAGGAGAATGGCGTGAACCCAGGAGGCGGAGCTTGCAGTGAGCTGAGATCGCGCCACTGCACTCCAGCCTGGGAGACAGAGTGAGACTCCATCTCAACAAAAAAAAAAAAAAAAAAAAGAAAAAAACAAAAAAGCAGCATGTCTTGTCTAAATGTCCTCGAGTAGGTAGTGCAGCAGATTTTACCGAGAAAGCCAAGGCGAAGCCCTAAACATGGCAATTAGCTTCCAGGAAGCAACAAAGAAATTCTGGTAAGGTTTACTTAATTTGAAGGCACTGTACAAGCCTGACAATCGACTTTTCCTATTATTAGAAAATAATGTTGGCTGCACAGTGTACGAAATGCCTACATTAAGTGCTTCCTTTATGCTATTTATTTATTCATGACAAAGCCTGTTTTGAGGAGCACCACATATTTAACGAATAGAGAACGCAGTGTGTACCCAAGGAAAAACTGAGCAGGTTTATTTAGGACTCGAAACATTTAACGAGCTATTTCAGAAAATACCATCATCTACACATCTTCCATATAAATTCCGATAGCCTAATACAGCATCTACGTGCCTACAAATAAACTTTGAGCTAGTATCACACTCAGCACTTGATGCTGCGAAATCTTCCACAAATACTTCTTTTAATGCGGCCTCCTACTTCCTGGATGAAAAAGTCTGAAGTTTTGCGTATCTTTACTTCAGGAAAGAAGAGGGTAAGTTTCTGCCCCATCTTCTCCCCTCCTGCGACCCGGCGCTCTTCAGTTTTCGGGAGTTCCTAGGGTGGGATAGAAGAAGGACACACCCACCCACAGGGACAAGGGTGACTTTAGAGCCACCAATACAACATTCGGATCGAAGCTGTAAGCTAACACACTTCCACAAGAGGACTCCCGTTCCTGACAAGGGATCCCCACTCCAAAGGCCCCGAGTCCCCGCAGTAACCTACCTGAGCGCCGCCCCCGAGCTCTGAGGGCCCACTTCCTGTTTACCACCCAGCCTCTTCCTCCCCTGCCCAGTCCCGTTCGAGGCGGCGGGCGGCGACCGTGCGCACGCGCCAACACTTGAGTTCCCCTCTTTCCAAACAGGCATTTTTGTGGAAAGCCGATACTGTCAACCCGGGAGAGGTGGCCAGACAACGGCCGAACGAACCCCAGTTTAGCTTGTATTATAAGCTCTCCAAAGACCGATGGAGATGCGGGGCAAGGGGATTCAGCAGATCTAGCTGTTAATGCTACTGATTTGTGGGAACCAATATGGATTTTCTTTCTGTCGTTTGTTTCAAGGCATTAGAAGGAGACTTTCGGTCCGCTGTCCAGGGGTCTATGGAGACTAATGTAAAAGGGGGTGACCCTATTGCTTGAGACTCCGGAGAAACAGCGGGTATTACTGAGAAACACCCATCCTCTGACATACTTACCAAATTTCTCAGAGTCGGTACAGCAGTTCTTCTAAGGGAAGAATGGCAACATCGGAGTCCACAAGCGAGGAAAAAGAGGGAGTCGGAGAACCGAGCCTACAAAACCAGAGTGACGAAAAGCGAGGCCGGCGCCAAGTCGCAGTCACGTGGCCCGGCGGCCATGACAGCTACCGAGGCGGTAGTGCGCGCAGTTCCAGGGCGGGGATTGCCGCGGCGTCACAGTCCCCTCAAAACGCTCCGTTCATCAGCTCTTTCTAACTTCTCCTCCCTCGGTTTTCCTTTTGAGCTATGGTCTTTATCCCAGACAGGAAGAGAAGAGTTGTCCCTGCCTGCGGAGCGGAGGGAGGATGCCGCAATAGCTATGGCGGCCCTCAGCGGAGTGGGGCGGCCTCAACCTAACGCGGGGCGGGGCCTCGGGGGCGGGGTCTCGGCGGGGCGGTCGCTTTTGGAGCCGCAAAGTTTGGCTGTGGCGGCAAATGGGCTTGGGCGGCTCCTCGGCGGGTGGCGGTGGTGGCCGTAGCGGTTCCTCCTGGCCCTGTTAATGTCGGGGACAGGCCCGGGGAGGATGGCGCCCTAGAACCCGGCCGTGCTGGGGTAGGGGCGGGAGGGGACGGGGTGGGGACCGGCCATGTCGGAGGTGACCCGGAGTCTGCTGCAGCGCTGGGGCGCCAGTTTTAGGAGAGGCGCCGACTTCGACTCTTGGGGCCAGCTGGTGGAGGCGATAGACGAGTATCAGATGTGAGTGACTAACCGCGGGAGCGGGCCAGACCGGCTCCAGTCGTGCGCCTCTCCCTTGTTTCTGTCGGTGTCTCTCATCACTGTATCTGCCAGCCAAGGCTTCTCAGGGTGGGGCCCCGCAGGCACTGAGGCTGAGATCCCTCGCCACCAGCCCCAGCGAGGCTGCTCTGGGGACAAGGGCTCCGCTTTCTGGGGTGACTCGCCTTCTTCCCCCTCCGCCTCCGCAGGGACAGTTCCATTCAACAGGTAGCCCTTCTTTCTTGGGGCGCCGGCCCTAGTAGGCTATCTACTTAGTTCCTTTCCACGGTCTCACGGGTCCACCACTTGGCAGTCAGTTTCCTTTCCTCCTCCTCTCCCAGGTTGCCCTTCCTCGATTTCCCTTTGAAATTCTCTGAGGAATACTTGTGTGTTCTCCGCCCACGTTCCAAGAATGAGTGGCCTTGCTCTGTGTGTGTCTTCCTCCTTCCATGTGTAGGAAAGGAGGGAACTGGTTGCGATTGAGGGGAGGGGGTTCCCCAGGAAGCAGCGAGGGCCAGGGATACCTCTTCTGCCAAAAGAAGGGTCTCCTCTCGCGCTCCTTCTCCACCCCTCTTTCTGGTGAGCCGTGTTTTCAGAATTCCACCTCGATTTCGTTTCGGTTTCTGGGACTGTTATTTGGTAGGCTCTGAGTCCCACCCACCCCCTCGCTCGGTTGCCTTGGGTGGAGTCCGCGCAGGATGTGAACAGAAGAGAGCAAAATGTGAATTAATGGACCACGCACTGGAGCACCACTCCCTCCTTGGATCCCTCCTCCTTTTCCTGTATATAATGTATAGCCGCAGGGTACAAGTGAGTACCAGTTTCCTTGAGCAACCTAAGACCAATTTCTTGCCCTTTCTGGTTTCCGCAGAAAACTTCAGGGATGTCTTAAAAAATAAAAGACAAGATTTATATACACATAAAACCTTGCTTAGGTTTTTGCACATTTTTCTGAACTTAAGAACTGTCTGCCAAAATGCTATTGTTTGCAAACTCGCCATTAATTATTCTTTGTTTAAAGCAAGTTATTGTTTGAGATTTCACTGAGTATTAAACCATGTATGAGTAGAATAACCCGGCCTTCCCCACCACCCCCTCTCCGCCCCTGACACACAATGATTTCTGGAAAGAATAAACGCTTCGTACTTGGAAGATCTAAACTCTTAGCCTGTCCCCACAATAGTTGTTTTTATCTATTAAGATAATTTAAATCTGTAGGTACTGACTTTGAATTGCCTGTAGTTTCAAAAAGCTCCGACAAAAACCCGTGCCCTGGGCCATTTTGTGATGTGTAACAACTAGTAGCATTTGTTTTGCACTTTCACATGATTTCATTTGCTCTTGCAATAACCCAGTGAGAATATAATTATTCTCATTTTACGAAATGAGGAAAACTGAAGCTCAGGTTAAACAGATTACTCAGGTCACAAGCTGATACCACTGAAATCTGGGATTTAAAGAAGAAAATCCAAATCCTATTTCTACTACAGAGCGCTTAAGATGCACTGAGAGTAATTCTGTAAGTGAATTAGACAAATTATAAGATTTTCTTTATTACCGGAGAACACACCCTTCCATACTGCAGCCAATTAGACAGTAAGCACCTGTGTATACCCATTCTGTATATTAACTAATATTGCATAGCTTGAAATAGAAAGCCATATCTTACTTGTGATGTGAGACCTAGCAGCTGTTGACACTGGGCGGCTGACTTCACAATGGAAAGTGAAGAATACCATGTCCAATTGAAATTACAAAGGAAAATTGAAAATGCAAGCTGTTTAGTGTGAATTTCTAGGAACATGAAGGTGAGGGTGATAGGCACGTGCAAATCCATTGTTGGACCTCGGTACTAACCACTGAACTTCATGATTCTAGCAGTCCTCAAATTATAAAACCTGCCAGGGTCAAATTTCAATGAAGACATGTAATGATTGGCTTAATTCTGTAAACATGTAGGCTACATATAAAATGAGGTCAAGAGTTTAAAATTACTTAATATATCCAGAAATGAATGCAAATTATCTTTTTCATTTGAAATACCTGGGAGGAAAGGCTGCAGCAAAAGACATGAATTGAGGGCCACTTTAATGATGTAAACAAGAATTGACAGGATTTAGTTACTGACTGGATATCGAGGGTGTAGAAGGAGGAAGAGTCTAGGATAATTGGGATTTCTAACTGGGTAGGCAGCAGTCTTTTTATAGCCATACAACATACAGGAGCTGCTTTATGGGAGGGATGTAGGGGGAGAGATAGTACATATCTGTATTATCATACTATCTCAGATAGTATGATAGTACATATCTGTATTATTACTACAGTAGTAATACTGTAGCTTAAACAATTTCATTACTCAACAAGTAAGGGTTGGGGATACAAAGATGAATAAAATTTGATTTCTGCCCTCAAAGCACTGAGAATCCAATGGAAGATTTTGGAGTAACTGGGTGTTGCAATTATAGAAGTATGAAAAGAATAAGTGCTCCCACATTCCTTGCTATTTCCTGAAACGTAGTTCTGCCTTAGGGCTCTTGTATTTTTTTTTCTGGGACACTTTTTCCCCCATTATCTGTTTGGGTCACTTCCTCACCTCCTTCAAGTCTTTGTTCAAATATCCTCAGTGAGGTTCTCTCTGGCCACACCCTGTTTAAAATTGCAAAGTCTCTTGTCCACCCCCACTGCCTCTATCTCAGTTTCACACCTCCTGTTCTCCATCCTGCTTCATTTTTTTCCATGGTACTTACCACAATAGAAAATATATTTTCTTTTGTTGTTGTTGTTTCTGTTGTTTTTTCTGAGACAGAGTCTTGCTCTGTCACCCAGGCTGGAGTGCAGTGGCATGATCTCGGCTCACTGCAACCTGTGCCTCCCGGGTTCAAGCAGTTCTCCTGCCTCAGCCTCCTGAGTAGCTGGGATTACAGGTGCACACCACCACGCCCAGCTAGTTTTTGTATTTTTAGTAGAGACGAGGTTTCACCATCTTGGCCAGGCTGGTCTTGAACTCCTAACCTTGTGATCCACCCGTCTCGGCCTCCCAGAGTGCTGAGATTACAGGGGTGAGCCACCGTGCCCAACCACAGTCAAAAGTATATTTTCCGTATTTGTTTTGTTTACTGTCTCTCTCCCCACTGGATTGTAAGCTCTTTGAGGGTAGAGTATGGGCATATGTTGCAGGGTGTTGGGACGCTGTCTATTTTGTTCTCTACTGTATACTTAGTGTCCAGAGTAGTAATAGGCTCTCCACATGTCATTATTTGTTTAGATATTATGTAGTTATTCTATTGAATGGATGAATTTAGGAGTATGCTATGGGAGCATTAAGGAGTCGATGCCAAACTACAATTGGAAGACTTTAATTCTGTCAAGACTAAAATAGTCATCCAAAGTATTAGATGGTCAATTAAAAGTAACTGCATTTCGCTATTTGGGGATATGTGGCCCCTAACTTATGGTGGAGTGGCACAGAAACTGTTGCTCAGAATCAGGCATTTCACAGGATCAATCCTGAGGTATTTATCTAGCACATGGATACTCAGTAAATATCTGCTAACTACTCGGGTGTGGTGGCTCACGCCTGTCACTTTGGGAAGCTGAGGCGGGCAGATCACTTGAGGTCAGGAGTTCAAGACCAGCCTGGCCAACATGGCGAAACCCCCTCTGTACTAAAAATACAAAAAAAATTAGCCGGGCGTGCTGGTTTGTGCCTGTGCCCCAGCTGCTCAGGAGACTGAGACACAATCATTGCTCGAACCCAGGAGGTGGAGGTTGCAGTGAGCGGAGATCGTGCCACTGCACTCCAGCCTGGGTGACTGAGCAAGACTCTGTCTTAAAAAAACAAAGAAGTATCTGCTAAGTGAATCGATGAGTCTGAAGACTGGATAATGGCCACTTGTCTTTTTTTTTTTTTGAGACAGACTCTCGCTCTGTCGCCTAGGCTGGAGTGCAGTGGTGCAATTTCGGCTAACTGCAACCTCCACCTCCCAGGTTTAAGCAATTCTTCTGCCTCCGCCTCCCGAGTAGCTGGGACTACAGGAGCATGCCACCACACCTGGCTAATTTTTTTTTTTTATTTTTAGTAGAGATGAGGTTTCACCATGTTAGCCAGGCTGGTCTCAAACTCCTGATCTCAAGTGATCTGCCTGCCTCGGCCTCCCAAAGTACTGGGATTATAGGCAGGAGCCACTGGGCCCAGCCCTACTTGTCATTTTTGCTGTGTTTTATGTCTCTGCTGCTGAAAGTGTGGTCCCCAAATTGGTGATGGTCTACAAACTGTTACTGCTGTGCAGTAAGGTAAGGAAAGAAATTGGGAGTAAACATTTGGAAACTTTATAGCAACTTGACATCTCATGATATTTTTGAAATTGTATTTTATGTAAGTATTAGTCTAGAACAAATTTGGTGGAAAAGTGATCCTTTGCTACAGATGGTTTGAGAAGCACGAATTTCTGTGTCACGGAATGCTGTGGGGTTTCCAGGAGTTACTTATGTATGTGCTTAAGGTATGTTTAAAACTCTCCCTTGAGAATAGTCCTGTTTTACTTGTAGGCACCTTTGTAGGGTGAGATGAGTCTCTAGAGAAGAATATTTGACAGATTTATTTCACTTTTCCTAATAGAATGTCAACTTTTATTTGCTCATCTAATATTCAGATCAGTAGATTTCCCTCAGTGGACAAAATCAGGTGTCATTTTGTCTTAAAATGGTATACTCATTTGTGGATATAGAAAATTAATTTTTCATGTCGGCTTGAAAAGTTCTTTTTAAGGCTGGGCGCGCTGGCTCATGCCTGTAATCCCAGCACTTTGGGAGGCCTAGATGGGTAGAATACTTGAGCTCAGGAGTTCAAGAACAGCCTTGGCAACATGGCAAAACCCAGTCTCTACAAAACATACAAAAATTAACCTGATATGGTGGTGCTCACCTGTGGTCCCAGCTACTCAGGAGGCTGAGGTAGGAGGATTGCTTGAGCCCCGGAGACAGAGGTTGCAGTGAGCCAAGATCATGCCACTGTACTCCAGCCTGGGCAAGTTTTTTTTTTTTTTCCTGTCTCAAAAAAAAAGTTATTTTACAAACAACTTTATTGAGGTATAATTTATATACATGAAATTCATCTATTTTGCATGTACAATTTAATGATTTTTTTTAGTGAAATTTACCAAGATGTGCAACCATCATTACAGATTTTAGAAAATTTCCATCACCCCCACAAGATACCTAGTGTTCATTTGCAGTCACTCTATATTCCCACTCTAGCCCCAGACAACCACTGATCTACGTTTTGTCTCTATAGATTTGTCTTTTCCAGACATTTTATATAATTTAAATCATGCAGTATGTGATTTTTTTTTTTTTTTGAGGCGCAGTCTTGCTCTGTTACCCTGGCTGGAGTGCAGTGGGGCGATCTAGGCTCACTGTACCCTTTGCCTCCCGGGTTCGAGCGATTCTCCTGCCTCAGCCTCCCCAGTAGCTGGGATTACAGGCGCCGGCCACCATGCCCAGCTAATTTTCGTATTTTTAGTAGAGACGGGGGTTTCACCATGTTGGCTAGGCTGGTCTCGAACTCCTGACCTCAAGTGATCCATCTACTTTGGCCTCCCAAAGTGCTGGGATTACAGGCGTGAGCCACTCTGCCCAGCCTTGCGTAATTTTTAGTAGCACGATTCTGTTTGAATTGAGCATCCTTCTTTTCCCTATTGCCAATTAGCATTTGAACAGGAGTATAGCATTACACCCTTCTGACAGTGATTCTGCTTAGGTTGATGGCCACCACTGCAAATTATGTATAGAATTACTCAAAGAAAGAAACTCATTCCACACTGTAACTTCCCTGAGTTCAGGGATGTATAGTTGATGTTGTTAAGGATACAGAGTATGGATTCCTTGGGAGTACTCCATGCACGTGGTAGGCCAGTAAGAGTTAGAAAAGAAACCAAGTACAGAACAAAGACAATGGCTATGTTGTTTCTATTTGTACCTTTTCCTGTACAGAATACACAAAAAGTGAGTCTATGAATGACATTTTAGGGAAAATATGAGGCTTCCAGCTTTGGGAGAAAAGAAATAAATGAATGGAAGCAGTTCAACTAAGTAACACAGTGGAGCTATCTTGGAAATACTAAGTTTTTTTTGTGTGGCTAATTCTGCTTTATGTTAAGGAGGATGCAAACCTTTCATAAATTGGATAGAGGCCAGGAAGAATAAGGTACTTTATGCCTTATCTTTAAAGACATGATTGCATAGAACTCCCATCTAGTACATTTTATTTGGAAACATAAACTATCTTCTGCAATTGGCTTGGTAGAGAATCTAGCACTTGCTACCCTTTGTATTCCTGTTCCTATTGCCCACACAGAATAGTACATAGTATGTTTGGGAGTTTAATGTTCGAATTCTTTTGCTAGTTTTTTCCCCTATATTTTTTAGAAATTGAGATAAATATCACATCACATGAAACTCACCAGTTTAAAGCATACAATTCCATGGTTTTTAGTGTATTCACGGTGTTGTGCAACCATTTCCACTGTCTAATTCCTGAACATTCCCATCACTCCCAAAAGAAACCCCATACTTGGTATCAGTTACTCTCAGTTCCCTCATCTCCTGGCCACCACTAATCTGCTTTTTGTCTCTGTGGATTGATCTGGTCTGGACATTTCATATAAATGGAATCATATCACATATAATCTTTTGCATCTGGCTTTTTTCATTTAGCATAATGTTTTTGAAGTTCATCTGTGTTACACATGTTAGTAGTACTTCATTCCTCTTTTTGACTGAATAATTTTCCATTGAATGGATATACCACATTTTGTTTATCCATTCATCAGTTGATGGACATTTTGGTTATTTTCACTTTTTGGCTATACATTTGTGTTCAATTTTTTTTTGTAAACATATATTTTTCAGTTCTCTTGGATATATACCTAGGATTTTGAAATTGCTGGGTCATACAGTAACTCTGTATTTAACTTTCTGAGGAATGGCCAAATTGTTTTCCACAGTGGCTGGTACCATTTTATGTTCCCACCAGCAATATCTGAGGGTTCCAGTTTTTCACATCCTGTCAGTACCTGTTATCTTCTCTCTCTTTCCCCCATAAGGATGCAGTTTCATTTTTAAAAAAATTGTACTCATTCTAGTGGGTATGAAGTGATATCTTATTGTGACTTTGATCTGCATTTTCCTAATGACTAATAATGTTAATCATCTTTTCCTGTGTTTATTGACCATTTTATATCTTCTTTGGAGAGCTGTCTATTCAAATCCTTTGCCCAAAATTGGTCTTTGTATAGTTGAAACCATAGTTTTCTAGTTTAGTTTGTAAGGGGATTGACTTTTACAAACTAAACTGTATGGGTTTTTTGCTGTCTCAGAAGTAGCTTTGGGTCCTCATTGTTGAGCTTGGACTAATAATATAGATCCATCCATTAAAAACTCATGCAAGGCCTAGCTGCTATTTGAAAGTGTAATGATAATTGGACAGACAATGATTTCTCTTGCTGATTGGTGGAGAATTTTCTTTATTTTCCATGAAAACATGTTTTCAAAAGTATATATTGATAGTAGGATGGATTATTACCACTTGTCATTGCTGTAATTTGGATTAGGACTAATTTTACTACCAAATTAATGATAGACTGATAAACTATCTCTGGTTGGTATTATCACTGGTGCTCTCTGGAAGTGTTTAAGCAGAATCTGGACAACTACTTATTGGCTTATTATAGAATAAAGTCACCCATACTAAAGAAAGTTGGATTAGATGCCCTTTGAGATTCTTTCCAGCTCATTTTTACTGCCTAGAGCTGAAGTTTGTCCCAGTGAAATGGTATGAAAAGTATTGTATGTTACTTTCATCATCATTGTATAAAGAGTTTGGTTTTTTTTTTTTTTTTGGAAGAGTTTGATTCTCAGTGTAGATTTATATTTTAAAAACAGGACAAGATATAATTGTACTTCACATTGTTAAAAAGCTTTAAATTGTTACACTTTGTTGCAGTAGTTTGCTTTTCTTGCATTCTAAAGAACATGTTTTCTTCTTACAGATTAGCAAGACATCTCCAAAAAGAGGCCCAAGCTCAACACAATAATTCTGAATTCACAGAAGAACAAAAGGTACCATAAAATAATCTGTAGATATATCAGATTCCAAACAAAAAGTGTTTTGTCTTTTGAGTTCATTAAGCAAAACAAAAAACAACAAAACATAAACAAAAAACTGTTGTACTTAAGTAAAAAGAATGATACTGATTATGCTTTGCCTAACATTAAGTGATTATTTAGAGATATCATATGACTTATCACTTTAAAGCAATAAAATTGTTATACTCAGCCATTTAGGCTTTGCTTAACTTTGCTTAACTTTAGTGGAGACCATCCATGCTTTTGCTGAAGAGGGGGAGAACCCAATCCACACTTTGGTGAAGATTGGGGAAACCCAGAGACTGGGATGTGTCTAGAGTCCTTGGGAAAATAGAAAGATTGTGGGTAGTTGCATTCCACCTCAGCACTTATTTGATTCTGAACTTTCATAACTCCTATCTACCTCCTCTCAGAATGAACAGACACACACAAAAAACAAAAGACCAGGACAAACCAAAACACTTCTCCACTGAAAAAAATTAGTTCAAGTCAAGAATTCGGCATAAAAATCCATCTGCAAAATAAATGCATAAGGTTGCAAAATGTTTCAATTGTGCCTTTTCTCCTTGAATTAAATTTTTTGTGTGTCAAGTTGAGTCTCTAAACTGTTAGTTATTATGAAAAATGGGCAACTGAAGCTTTAAAAGAGAAGAAATGGGAGGAAACAACTCCCATTTTCTCTTGGCTCAGAGTATCTAGTGTTAAGTCAATGTTTAATCTTGTAGATAATGAAAAAAAATTGTCAGTCTATCCCCCATCTCCTAAGAAAAGTGTGAAAACTATGATGACTTAATTTGTTCTTACTTATTCTTTCTGTACAAAGGGAGTGGTAATGATTTTTTGCACACTTTTTTTTTTTTTTTTTGAGACGGAGTCTTGCTTTGTCACCCAGGCTGGAGTGCAGTGGCAGGATCTCCACTCACTGCAAGCTCCGCTTCCTGGGTTCACACCATTCTCCTGCCTCAGCCTCAAGTGTAGCTGGGACTACAGGCGCCTGCCACCACGCCTGGCTCATTTTTTAAAATGTATTTTTAGTAGAGACGGGGTTTCACGGTGTTAGCCAGGATGGTCTCGATCTCCTGACCTCGTGATCCACCCGTCTCGGCCTCCCAAAGTGCTGGGATTACAGGCGTGAGCCACCGCGCCCGGTCTTTTTGCACACTTTTACAGTAAGCCTAACAACATTCATTTTAGTCTATTCATCTATGTTCATTTGATTCTTATTTATAGGAGTTTGGGAAGAAGTCCCTAAAGATCAGGGGCTTACACAAGTTTGTATATTTGCATTTTAAAATATTTTACACATATTTCTTAACGCAGGTTTGTATATTTGCATTTTAAAAATATTTATGATCTACTTTATCTAATGTACTTTTTAATTTGGTATTTAAAAAAAATTACTACAATTTAAAAGAATTTTTTTTTTCTTTTGGCTGGGTGCAGTAGCTCATGCCTGTAATCGCAGCACTTTGGGAGGCCGAGGTAGGCAGATCACTTGAGGTCAGGAGTTTGAGACCAGCCTGGCCAACATGGTGAAACCCCATCTCTACTAAAAATACAAAAATTAGCAAAGTGTAGTGGTGCGTGCCTGTAATCCCAGCTACTAGGGAGGCTGAGGCAAGAGAATCACTTGAACCCAGGAGGCAGAGGTTGCAATGAGCCGAGATAGGACCACTGCACTCCAGCCTGAGCGACAGCCAGAGCAAGACTCTTGTCTCGAAAATAAATAAATTAAAAAAAAAAAAGGAATATATTTTTTTCTTAGTAGTTCCTAGTATGCACAGTAGATATTAGGAGTCTTAGGATTTTAGCCCTGGAAAATAATGACCACAGCGGAAATGACTGATTAGCTTAAGGAAAGGAGCCTCTGTAAAATCTGAAATTTCTCTAGGAATTGATTAGGAAATGATCAGCTGGCATCACAGAATTGGGAGTTACGGTACCTAAATTTTGATAAACAGAATATCAGATAGCTACATATATAAATAGCTATCAGAATGTGTCATGAATATGGAAACAGAATGAAAACTCAGGGAATTAAAAAATGTTTAATCTTTTAATCACCTGTTTGAGTTACTTACATCCTGTTTCCAACACTGAGGTATAGGATATATGAGCCACATGACCTCAAATATTAAGTGATTTGACCTAAAACACACTAAAAAATATATTTAAAAAAAAATACCACTGGGCATGGTGCCACGTGTTTGTAATCTTAGCACTTTGGGAGGTTGAGTTGGGAGGATTCTTTGAGCCCAGGAGTTCAAGACCAGCCTGGGCAACATGGTGAAACCCCATCTCTACTGAAAATACAAAAATTAGGTAGGCGTGGTGGTGTAAGCCTGTAGTTCCAGCTACTTGGGAGACTAAGGTGGGAGGATCACTTGAACTCGGGAGGCGGAGATTGCAGTGAGCTGAGATCATGCTACTGTACTCCCGCCTGGGCGACACAGTGAGACCCTGTCTCAAAAAAAAAAAAAAATCAAGAAATGAGCCTATCATATAATGATTAGATTAATGAGAAAAAATTAACTTTTTCTTAATTTTCTTTAACTTTCTAAGGCTGAAGCTGGTGTTTGATAATGCTATTTAGTCTTAAATTTATAGCTTTTCCTTAGCAGCCACATGACCACTGTATTTTTGGCCACAGGAGGCAGCATGACTTAGAGGACAGAACTGAGACCTGGAATCAGAAGACTGGGAGTCTTGCTCTTGCTGTGGCTGTGGCCTTAATTTTCTTATGTACGAAATGAGGGACTGGAGAACTCTAAATGATCTTTAGAGTATCCCTGAATCTTCTCATGTCCTTTACTTTGAAGTGTTCTGCACCTCCTTCTTTACTAGAGGCCTGATTTCGGAGGCGTTTATTATTTATGATACCTGCCTAGGAGGCATTTGTGGCTGCCAGTTGAGACTACAGAGAGAGCTTGTGCCTGCCTGCCTATTCTATGGGCTTGGATAAGAAACCCCAAATCACTGTATACTACATTGTGAATATAAGACAAGTTGTATGACTTTAAAAGTTTAATTTTCTTTAAAAATGCAAGTAAAACATTCACAGTGGGCCAAAAAAAGTCATACTGATATGTAGGCCTTATTTCAATGTCACATAAGGAAGAAGTTATCAGAGGCTCTAAATTAGTAAATAATTAGAAAACGGAGATCTTCCAGGTGTAATTCTGGGGAACATTGGTTCTGAAAAATTGATAGATGTTATTTGAACAGATAGAGTTCGTGACTTCTTGCGACCTTTAGTATGCACATGTGTATGTTGAATATTTTAGAGTTTGGGCATGTAGTATTTTAAAATTTGTTTGCTTTTGGAAGTCTCCCTCTCCCTTCAAAGAACATTTCATTGAGTTTAGTGTTCTGAAACATATTATGGGAAATTTTGATATAAACTGTTGGATCTGCAAAATTAATTAAATGCCAGACCTAGCATGCAAGCCAAAGGAGAAAAAACTCAATTGTGTTTTCTTCAAAAGAGGAACATGGAGACTGTTCTTTACATTATGCTAAGCAAAATTGTTCTTTCTTGAATTGGAATTTTTATGCTTTTACTATTTTTAGTGTTTTCGTAGCAGTGACAAATCTTAGAATTATGCCAACCATTCAATAGTTTGTACAACTTTGAAAGAAGATTTAAAAAAAATATATACTTTGGCCGGGCAGGGTGGCTCACGCCTATAATTGCAGCACTTTGGGAAGCCGAGTCAGGCGGATCACGAGGTCAGGAGATCGAGGATGGCCTGGCTAACACAGTGAAACCCCGTCTCTACTGAAAATACAAAAAATTACCCGGACGTGGTGGCGGGCGCCTGTAGTCGCAGCTACACGGGAGGCTGAGGCAACAGAATGGTGAGAACCCGGGAGGCGGAGCTTGCAGTGAGCCGAGATCAGTCCACTGCACTCCAGCGTGGGCAACAGAGCGAGACTCCCTCTCAAAACAAGCAAACAAACAAAAACCATACTTTTAAAGTGCTTTTTTAATGAAACTTGTTACTGTCTAGCGCACAGTGAGCTCTTAAAAATATTTGATGGGCCAGGCATGGTGGTTTACGCCTGTAATCCCAGCACTTTGGGAGGCCGAGGCAGGCAGATCACCTGAGGTCTGGAGTTTGAGACCAGCCTGACCAACACGGAGAAACCCCGTCCCTACTAAAAATACAAAATTAGCTGGGTGTGGTGAGACATGCTTGTAATCCCAGCTACTTGGGAGACTGAGGCAGGAGAATTGTTTGAGTCCGGGAGGCAGAGGTTGCAGTGAGCCGAAATCACACCACTGCACTCCTGCCTAGTCAACAAGAGTGAAACTCCGTCTCAAAAAAAAAAAAAAAAAAAAATTGATGAATAAATGCTATTCTGTGTCTTAGGTGTTGATATTTATTCGCATGTGACTGTTATTTAAGACAAGATTAATTCTGATTTTTTAGATACATTCTCGTTTTTGAGAGAATAACTTACATTCATTTTCACGATATTTATTTTAAGTCTAACGAGCTCTAAAGCAGAACTACTGCTCTCTAAACTTTATTAATTGGTGATAAATAGTATGAAAACTTCATTTTTTTTATTCTTAATATTCTCGGCAATTTCTGGTGCAAAATTCATAACACTTATTTGGTCCTCTTTTATGATGAGTTCACTTAGCTTTCGTTTCAGTTCCTGATAGTGTTGTCATTATAACAACTGGGTTTAGTAACCAACGAATAGCTGCCAAAAGCTTTCATTCCACTGAATTCCGGACTTTGGTGTAGTAGATTTTCTCAAGTAAATTTCTGGACAGAATAGAATATCCTGTCTCATGATGCTTAGAAAGCATTTCCCTGTTTTGAGTCAAATTTGGTGGTAATAAGAATTCCAGCACTATCTGCTTGTTTTATATTTTATAAGGCTCTCCTTTCCACCCTTACCCTGATCTCTTCCCCCCCAGTTCTACCTTCACCACCTCCAGCTCCCAGCTAGACAGTAGATTACTGGCTGTTTGAATCTAAAAAATTAAGTCTGGATTAACTGAGAACATTCTACCTTATGTGTATTTTTTAAACCTATTTTTTCTTACACAGATTGAAGACATTTTAGCAAAATTAACTTAGCTCTTTAATTGTCCATTTCTATTCCATCTTTTCCTTTAACTGATCTTTTGAGCTGTCAATTTTCCTAGCAATCACAATCGCCAATATTTTGAAAATGAAAGCATTTTCCATTTTTATACCATATTGGATATGAGCAGTTAATTTGAGTGCTAATAATTCAAGTTTTAATTGTCAGTACATATACTCTGACACATGTGAACTTGTGCTTCTTAATCATTTTTCTGAGTCATCTGTTTCTAAGTGAAACAATTACAGTAGCAAGCGCTTGATTTTGATCTCAATACATTCTATATGTTTTAAAAGTTAATGCTATAGCCGAAATGATAGTGTTCTACTCCTTTTTAAATACTGAGGTTCGGTGTGGTTCCTTAAAATAGTTATGAATAATGCCTGTGGAGGTATTTTGCCATAGTTCAGTAGATTTCTGTATAAAAAACTGTTGCCTGGCTAACACTGTGAAACCCCGTCTCTACTAAAATACAAAAAAAATTAGCCAGGTGAGGTGGCGGGCGCCTGTACTCCCAGCTACTCGGGAGGCTGAGGCAGGAGAATGGCGTGAACCCGGGAGGCGGGGCTTGCAGTGAGCTGAGATCCGGCCACTGCACTCCAGCCTGGGCAACAGAGCTAGACTCCGTCTCAAAAAAAAAAAAACTGTTGCAGCCGGGTGCAGTGGCTCATGCCTGTAATCTCAGCCCTTTGGGAGGCCGAGGTGGGCAAATCACCTAAGGTCAGGAGTTCGAGACCAGCCTGGCCAACATGGTGAAACCCTGTCTCTAATAAAAATACAAAAATTAGCTGGGTGCGGTGGTAGGTGCCTGTAATCCCAGCTACTCGGGAGGCTGAGGCAGGAGAATCGCTTGAGCCTGGGAGGCAGAGGTTGCAGAGAGCCGAGACCGTGCCACTGCACTCCAGCCTGGGCAACAGAGCGAGAGTCCGTATATTAAAAACAAACAAACAACAACAACAACAAAAAAAAACTGTTGCTTCTGCTTCAAGAAATGTTTAAATTTAAAATAGTTTATTAGTGGACTCATAGTTGTTAAACTACAACATTTTACCTTAAATGTTAAAAGCATGAAATCGCATGGATTTTATAGTAAAGAGGAAAAGAAAGTAATGCTTTAAAAGACTTAGTAATTGACATATCTCACTTAATACAGACAAAATTCTTTTTAAAAATCAGTTTTCAAAGAACATAAAAGTATAGCTAAATGGTATTGATATAGAAATATTGCTTTGTTGTATATATTGCTGTATCACATAGAAGGCATTGCTGGTCTGCCACCATACCACCCTGAATGTGCCCAATCTCATCTGATCTCGGAGGCTAAGCAGGGTTGGTCCTGATTAATACTTGTATGGGAGAAGGCATTGATGCCTAGGGCAAGTTATTTAACCTCCCTGTGCTTCAGTTTTCACACTTTTAAAATGGTTGTATCTAACTCATAGAGTTATAGTGAGGATTAAATGAATTAATGTTTGTAAATCACTTAGGAGAGCCTGTCACTTACTAAGTGCTCAATAGTTGTTAGCCATCACTATTACTATTATATTTATGTTTAGAATTATTTACTAGTTGTGTTAGAATTGAGTGGTGTGTTTGAATAACAATAATTTGAGGATGTTGGATTCTATGTAGAAAAGACTATTGCTGGTTTCTATGCAACAGTTTGAGAGTGAATAAATCTATGAATATCATGAAATCTTTTGTAGTTGCCATATATAAATGTAATTTTCAGATGTAATCTTTAAGTTTTCAGAACAAAATTGGACATCTTCTAAACTCTTGTATTGGGATTAAAAAGAATTTTTAGAGATTGTGGAGATGGTTCAATATTGTCACTTGTTCTTCGGCATCGAGTGATACCTTACTCAGTAGTGGTTTATTTTGTGAGTTGTTGTATCAGCCGTTTATTGTACATGCTGTAGTTATGTAGCACCCACTTGCATAAGTGCTGGGGCCAGGACAGCACTTGTTACTCTTCTTTGCTCCTTATTCACCTTCCAAAGAAAATTGATAAAAGAGAAAACCACCAAGTCCAATTTACTAAACTTTTGCAAGTTATCAATACATTTAGAAAAACATGCTTTTTTCCTTCCCAGAATATTCATTGTGTAGGCATTGCAGACATTGTACATAAATACTTTTATGATCTGGATTTATTCCTAATAAAAACTTAAGAAGCATCTCTTTTGGAAGGACTTAAAAGCCTTGATGGACATAATTCAGCTGCCTGCCCTGATACATGTTTCTTATATGAATCTCTCTTTAATTTCCACCCTAGTTATTCCTATTTTTGTTCTGATTACTATTTACCTGGACAATTGAAATAACCTGATTGATTTTGCCTTTAGTCTTTGCCCTTTCCTACTTCAATCTATGTATACTTTTATTTCAATAGTCTTCTTTTTTTTGAGATGGAGTCTCACTCTGTTACCCAGGCTGGAGTGCAGTGGCGTGATTTCAGCTCACTGCAACCTCCACCTCCCAGGTTCAAGTGATTCTCTTGCCTCAGCCTTCCGAGTAGCTGGGATTACAGGCATTTGCAACCACACCCGGCTACTTTTTTGTATTTTTAGTGGAGACAGTTTCACCATGTTGGCCAGGCTGGTCTTGAACCCCCGACCTCAAGTAATCTGCCTGCCTCGGAGTCCCAAAGTGCTGGGATTACAGGCGTGCGCCACCACACCTGGCCACAGTAGTCTTCTTAAAGGGCAGATCTGAAAGAGTTTTAAAAAAAACAAAAAACAGGCCGGGCACGGTGGCTCAAGCCTGTAATCCCAGCACTTTGGGAGGCCGAGACGGGCGGATCACGAGGTCAGGAGATCGAGACCATCCTGGCTAACACAGCGAAACCCCGTCTCTACTAAAAATACAAAAACTTAGCCGGGCGAGGTGGCAGGCGCCTGTAGTCCCAGCTACTCGGGAGGCTGAGGCAGGAGAATGGCGTGAACCCGGGAGGCGGAGCTTGCAGTGAGCTGAGATCCGGCCACTGCACTCCAGCCTGGGTGACAGAGCGAGACTCCGTCTCAAAAAAAAAAAAAAAAAGAAAAGAAATCCTCCTGGTCATTGGGGCTTGATTCCTAATACAGATCTTGTTCTGTTTCTTTAGGTCATATAATGGCATATCTTGCTAAAGCTCATACAATCAAATGTCTGCTTTCTTTTATAATGATTCTGTATTTGTCTTATCTCTCCTAATACAACATGAGCTTATTAAAGGCAAATGCTATCTATGCCCTATCATTAATATCCATTTTACAGCTCATGTTATATAAAACAGATCCAACTATAAAATTTATCACCGTTTATCACAATATCAGTTTTGCTTAGTGTTGCCTATGTATTTAATTAAACAAGTTGGTGTTGGACTTAAGTCAAAATTAAATTAGTTATATCATTGTGCTAACTTTCAGATATTTTTAAGCCTTTTAAAAAGTGAATTTTAGGCTTTATGGAGAAGAAAAGGTGAAGCTTGGAACAGAAGATACCAGGCAGCCCTTCAAATCATATCTACAGCTGTCATCAAAGCAAACTTGAGTTAGAATTAGTTGTGGCACATTAGGTCAGGGGAGAATATATATACTCACCTTCTCTCCCTCATCCCAACCCTTTGCCTCTTATTTCTTTTCTCTGAAGTCTGAAAGATGCCAGAAAGAAATAAAGTTTAACTTATTTAAGAGAATTATGGATCTTTTATTAATAAAAATTAACTTGATGATTTGAACTAACAGTTATGACAGTTTTGGTATTTATAGCTTTTTCTATTCCTCTACAGAAAACCATAGGCAAAATTGCAACATGCTTGGAATTGCGAAGTGCAGCTTTACAGGTAAGGAGTTTTTCTCCTCTCTTATACAAGGAAAATAAATTATTCTGCATTATTCTCATAAAACATTAGACATTCATTTCAAAAGCAGTATTGTCTCAGAAGTGTTTTGTAACAGCATATATTAAATTCATACTTTTTAAGTTCATGTTTTGTACATTGTAAAATAAAATATATGACTTCAGTTTTTTCTGTTATTTTTGGCCTGAGTGTTCCAAAAATAAACAAAAACCAGTTTGAGACTTTTCATTTTCTACCTTGAAAGCAAGAAATAGATTCCTTTTGAATATTTGGTTCTTGCCGCTTAAAAGACAGGGTGCAGTGAAATCTTTGTAGTGCAAAGATGTAATATGCTTATTTTAAATTTAGTCCACACAGTCTCAAGAAGAATTTAAACTGGAGGACCTGAAGAAGCTAGAACCAAGTAAGTTTAAGTTTATATTTTTTTGTGATACTCCTTTGGAAAATTAATCTATTATAGATGTTAAGGCTATTTAACAAAGATTCTGATTTGATTTATTTCTGTTAATATCTAGTCCTATGTGATTTTTTTGGGTACTTTTGTTACTTCTGTAACATTTATAGTAATTATTTTTTGGATTTTATCTTCGCTATAGAATGTATGAGGTTGTACCTCATCTAAATGTGTATTAGCCTTTATTTTGTCTTGCTCACTTTAATAAAACCACAGTTACTTTGGTAAACATTTGCAGCAGCATCTAGTGGAGGAAGTAAAGCTTTAGTCATTGATGCCCATTTACACTACATGTCATTGAAAACTACAGTCCAGCTGTTGGAGCTGCTCTGCAAAATATTTTTTTGTTGTCTTCATTTTCCTTTCTCTTTAAAACTTTTTTGAAGTAAATAATTTATTCAAATGTTTTGGTGGTTAGCGTGCTGCCACGTAAAGCTTTTTTGCTAATTCGGATGAATGTTCTTTGCAATATGGGCAAATGCACAAGAGTTGAATATAAAACTGAATCTAAGTCAATATTCTCATTTTTCATTGAGACAAGATTGCACATCTTAACATTTTCATGTAAATAGAGTTTATCCATCTAAGTCAAATTTCTAAGCAAGGAATCATAAAATCATAGCATTTTAGAACAGAAAGGAGTTTTAAGAGTCATATAGTTGAGTTCTCTCACTTTATAGTTGAACAAAGCTGAAACAATTCGCTGTTTCACTTCAACCCTTAGTAGCCTCTTCTAAGGAAAATTATTGACTGTAACTTGCATTATGTTGAACTAGGTTGGTTGGTTTTGCTAATGTATTCTTCAGAGTTTTAAAAAATGTCTTGAAAATCGTGTCTGAAATTCATACTGATTGTGAAAATACATTTAATTTGCTTATAATAATCCTCAGTCACATACTACTTCTTACTCAAACATATCTCTTCATGACCCTGTAAAATTCCCTTCAATAAATTCGTCCTTCAAAGTCCCTCAGATGTCCCGTCCTTCTCTGTTCCTCTAGCCATATTAAACTCGGCTTCCTATCTTTTATAGTAACACTTTTTATATCCATCTTCATTGTTTGTCCTGTATTTGTTTCACTCCTCAAAGAGATTGTGAATAACCTTTGTATTTTTCCCACAGAGCCTAATTCAGTGCTTTGTATGTAGTATGGGCATGGCAAATTTTGTTACATTGAATAGAATTGAATATCTTCAGGGAAACTTCTCTCATATTAGAAAATAATCTTTCAGATGGGAACAGTTACCCATTTTGCCTACCACAAAAATGAAACAAGTCAGTGGCAAAGAGAACACATGTTGATATTTGTGTGTGTGTCCCATTTCTAGAGTGTAAGCTTCAGGAGGGTGGCAGGTCCATGTTCTGTGAGAGCAGACTGGGAGTGCAGTTTTTACTAGTGGGGTACGTCCCCGCATCTGCCATTCAGAGGTCCTCAGTGTGTAGAGTCTACGGAATGAGCCAGTGAGTCCCCAGCCCATGATGTACTTTGTGTTCATTTAATACCTTATATGAAATTATAAACTCACCTCTCCCCTTCTCTGCATCCTCCTAAAGTATAATTAGTACTACTAGTGGAAGGAAAACCCTATGTAAAGTTTAAGGTAAATCCTGTTTTTAAAGGACATGAGAATCCCTGTTATTCTATAATTGATGAAAATGGAAACCTATTCTACAGAAAGTAAGAAAGGATCTGTTTTTGCTTCCAAAATTATCCACATAAATTAAATATTTGATACACTCTACACTTGCAAAAACAAAATAATGAAAGGTTATTATGCCAAAACAAACATTTCCTTTTCAAAGCATTGATACCTAAGAAAAGAAAATACTGTTTAATTCTTCTATTACAATACAAATGGAAGATATTCCTAGTAACTGATACAGTTTTTAACTTTTTAATTGGTGTTTTACACAAATTAAAGATTGATTTTTCCCCCGTTTTATTATTAAAATATTACTGTACGTTTTTGTTTCTGATATGAAGGACACATGGTCCTTTTTGTCACCTGTTCGCCTTTCCCATTCGTAGTATCTAATACAATATTATGTTAGTGATTAACTGATATTTATTGAGTTGAAGTTATCATTTACTCACAATGAGCTATCATGTACAAAGTTTAGAAAGGATGTTCTTATAATTTTTTTTTAAAAAATAGTGCTTTTTAGTGAGATCTGAAATGCAAAGATTCTAGTCAGCTGAATAGTGATAGAGAATGAGTTGTACAATAATGTAGGTTTATACTTGTACTTTAAATTTTTCTGTGTAATTTCATGATTTTAATTCTCACAACACTCTGAGGAAATGTTCTCATTGTAGAATTGAGGAAACTGAGATTCAGAGTGGGTATGTGAATGTTCAAGTCATTGCCATAATTCTTGGGCTAGGATTTGATTTCAAACCTTCTAACTTTCATCTTCTGACACTTCTGCCTTGCTTATCAAACTTTTGCTATACAGTTGATTCTATTCCTTGAACAAGCCTGACTAGTTTCTGCGTCAAAGCCTTTGTTGTTGCTCCAGGCTGATCCCTGGGAAGCCCTTTCCCTACAGCTGCCTGCAGATGGTGCCTCTCATCCTAGGTCATGGCTCAATGTCTTCTAATCATTTAGTTTTGAAAGGCTTACCCTGACTACCTTAGCTAAAGTTTTCCTTCTTCTCTACTTAATCCATTTGCACACTCATCCTGTTTGTGTCCTTTATAACACTAATCACAGTTACATTATCTTACTTGTTGGCTTATCGCTTTTTCTGATGAGAGTCTGAGATCCTTATATGAGGACAAAGACTCTCTGTCTTGATCACTGTTCTCTTTAGCACCTAAATCAGTGACTGGAACATTATAGGCACTCAATCCATATTTGTTGAGAAGAAGAAAGAAAGAGAATAAATGAGAATCTAGACACAAGCCTCAGAGTTCTTTCTCACTGGAGGGTTTGGTACAGATTACATATATAAGAATGAATATACTATGGATTATGTATATAAGATTATATATATAAGAAGGTATAGATTATATGTATGAAGAGTATAGATTATATATAAGGTTATATATATATATACAGGTATAGATTATATATATAAAAGAAGAAGATGAAGGAATGTTGGAGGAAGTCATGGAATTGCAACGTGCAGTCTCTGGTTTTCCTCCTTTGGGATGCCAATATGCCACAACCATTTTAGCTCTGAACTGCAGAACTCCAAAATTAAAGATTGAATAAATTGAATACAAAATCATGGAAGCCTTTTAGGTCTTCCAGTTAACGCCGTGAATTCACTTTAATGTAATCACGGGTAGTTACTGGGCACCCATAAGGCCAGAAATGAAGCTGAATTACATACTTATAGTACCCTTCAGAGGTAGCTAGAATTGTAAGATGCCTCTCTTTAAGTATACATGTCGGAAGGTAACCATTGAAATACAGATTGATCACAGCCAGAACACAGGAGGTGATCCCATATTGTTTGAAGACTTCTCTTCAGGATAAATCCCTCTTTGTGAAAGTGTGTATATAAATATGGAAGTACATGTGTGTATATACATATGTAAGTACCTATGCGTATATATACAATCATTTGTCACTTAATGACAGGGATGCAGTCAAGGAAATACAGCCTTAGGTGATTTCGTTGTGTGAGCATCATAGAGTGCACTTATACAAACCTAGATGGTAGAGCCTGTTGCTCCTAGGCTACAAACCTCTACAGCCTGTTACCATACTGAATACTGTAGGCAATTGTAACACAGTGGTAAGTTTTTATGTATGTAACATAGTAGAAAAAGGATAGTAAAAATACATATAAAAGATAATAAATGGTATACCTTTATAGGGTACTTGCTGTGAATGGAGCTTGCAGGACTGAAAGTTGCTCTGGGTGAGCAGTGAGTGAGTGATAAGTGGATATGAAGGCCTAGGACATTATCGTACACTACTGTAGACTTTATAAACACTGTACAATTAGGCTAAACTAAATTTATTGTAAAAATTGTCCTGTCTTTAATAACAAATTAACTTTAGTTTACTATATATAAACTTTATTGACTTTAACTTTTTAAAACTTTTTGACTCTTTTGTAATACCATTTAGCTTAAATACAAACACTTTGTACAACTGTACAAATATATATATATTCTATATATATATATATTTTTTTTTTTTTGAGACAGCTTTTGAGACAGTCTGGCTCTGCTGACCAGGCTGGAGTGCAGTGGCATGATCTCCGCTCACTGCCACCTGCATCTCCTGGGTTCAAGCAATTCTCATGCCTCAGCCTCTGGAGTAGCTGGGATTACAGTCGTGTGCCACTAGGCCTGGCTAATTTTTTTTGTATTTTTAGTAGAGACAGGGTTTCGCTATGTTGACCAGGCTAGTCTCAAACTCCTGTCTGCCAGTGATCCATCTGCCTCAGCCTCCCAAAGTGCTGGAATTATAGGTGTGAACCAATGCGCTGGCCACAAAAATATTTTTTCTTTATGTCCTTATTTTATAAATGTTTTCTATTTTAATTTTTGTTTGTTTTTACGTTTTAAACTTTTTTTTTTTTTTAACAACTAAGAAACACACACACATTAGCGTAGGCCTACACAGGGTCAGGATCATCAATATCACTGTCATCCACCTCCACATCCTGTCCCACTGGAAGGTCTTCCGGGGCAGTAATACACATGGAGCTGTCATCTCCTATGATAACAATGCCTTCTTCTGGATACCTCCTGAAGGACCTGCCTGAGGCTGTTTTATAATTAACTTTTTTTAGGGGGAGGCTGAGGCAGGCGATCACCTGAGGTCAGGAGTTCAAGACCAGTCTGGCCAATGTGGCAAAACTCCATCTCTATAAAAATACAAAAATTAGTCAGGTGTGGTGGCTCACGCCTGTAATCCTAGCTACTTGGGAAGCTGAGGCAGGAGAATCACTTGAACCTGGGAAGCGGAAGTTGCAGTGAGCCGAGATCATGCCATTGCACTCTAGCTTGGGCGACGGAGCGAGACTGTCTCAAAAAAAAAAAAGAAAGAAAGAAAATTAACTTTTTTTTTTAGTAAGTAGAAGAAGTACAGTCTAAAATAATGATAAAAATATAGTAAGTACAGTAAGTTCTATGTAAACAATATACTATAAAAAGTATAGTATATACTAGGCAGTTGGAATTTTTCAGCTCCATTATAATCTAATGGGACCACTGTCACATATGTGGTCTGTCACTGACTGAAACATTATTAAGTGGTACATGACTGATTATAATAATTTTTAAGCCTCAGAATGCCAGGACTCAGTATAATAAATTTTATCATAAAAGAAATATGAGAATTATAACCTTGCTGCTACAAACTACCAGTTTGATGACATTGAGAGGAAATCTTCTCAGGACTGAGAATAAAATGTACTCATGTATCTCTAACTGGGCATCTTCTATACAACTTTTTTTTTTTTTTTTTTTTTTGTTAAACAGAGTATCATTCTTGCCCAGGCTGCAGTGCAATGGCATGATCATGGCTCACTGCAGCCTTGACCCCCCCGGGCTCAAGTGATCCTCCTACCTCAGCCTCCTGAGTAGCTGGGACCACAGGCCTGCACCCCCATGCCTGGCTCATTTTTATTTTTATTTTGTAGAGACAGGAGTCTCCCTGTGTTGCTCAGGCTCAAATCTTTTAATTAAAGTACTATAGGGAGGAGGCCTTCTCTTTTTCTGGTACCCCATGTCTCACCTAAGACCTTGTAGATAGGATTCATTTTCCATGAGGGCTCTGAGACTCTGGAACTTACTCTTCTTGGAGATCTGACATTACTCTGAGGATACTGGTACCTAGAGTACACCATGGATATTTTAATTTTGCTAAGACCTTCAGTAGACAAATGTACTGTGTAGCTCTCAAATGGTGTAAGGCTGGGAATTTAAAAATATATATTAATATGCATAATAAAATTGATTAAAAATTAATCATTTAAGATATAATTTTTTATTTTGCTTCACGGAAGAATTCATGTTTCTTTATCTTCTTATTCTAGTCCTAAAGAATATTCTTACATATAATAAAGAATTCCCATTTGATGTTCAGCCTGTCCCATTAAGGTAAAAGAAACATTTATATTTGTTTTCTTATTTTATTTTTTACCTCTTTTTCAGATATTTCTGGGTTTTCTTAAATATCAACTTTAGTATTATTAATATCATTGACATCAACAGTGATAACAGTATATCAGCATTTTATTTTATTTTATTTTATTTTATTTTTGAGATGGAGTCTTGCTTTGTCATCCAGGCTGGTGTGCAGTGGCGCTATCTCGGCTTACTGCAACCTCCGCCTCCAGGTTCAAGCAATTCTTCTGCCTCAGCCTCCCAAGTAACTGGGATTACAGGTGCACGGTGCCATGGCCAGCTAATGTTTTTGTATTTTAGTAGAGATGGGATTTCACCGTGTTGCCCAGGCTGGTCTCGAACTCCTGAGCTCAGGCAATCCACCCACCTCGGCCTCCCAAAGTGCTAGGATTACAAGCATGAGCCACCGCACCCAGCCTATCAGCATTTTTTAATATCAGTATCTTGCCTGGGAAACGAGTATTTTTGAGGCTTCTCTAGTATATTTAGTTTTGCAGTTCGTTGTTTTTTCTGCCCTTTTTCATGTAGAAGAATTTTGGCACCTGGTGAAGAAGAGAATTTGGAATTTGAAGAAGATGAAGAAGAGGGTGGTGCTGGAGCAGGGTCTCCTGATTCTTTTCCTGCTAGAGTTCCCGGTAGGTATCACTTATTAAAAATAAACATTACTTAACTGCATCCAAAGTCAGGGTGTTTGAAACTTACTTTGGTGTTTGCTAGTGGGGCAATACAACCACTCTAAAGCTCATGCTAATCTTAGGCAAACTTTATTGGCAGTAGCTATTTCATAAGTAGGGTGTGAAGTTATCTTACTCTCCGTGTCAGGGGTCCTCAGGACCATCCCCATGTTCAGTGATTCTCTAGGATGACTCACGAGGCTCACTATATAGTTATATTCATAGCTAGGAATCATTACAAGAGAATGCAAGAACAAAATCAGCAAACAGAAAAGCCATTCAGGCAAAGTCTGGAGGTAACCAGGTGCAGGCTTTCAAGAATCCCCTTCCTGTAGAGTCACATAAGATGTGCTTAATTTCCCATGCAACAAGTTGCGACAACATATATGAAATGCACAATGTCGTCTACTAGAGAAGCTCTTTAGAGTCAGTGCCCAAAGCTTTTATTGGGGACTGGGTATGTGGGTACTTTCTGCCTGGCACAGACCAAAATTCCAGACTACAGAGGAAACAAGGTGTTTAGCACAAATCATATTGTTTACACAGTTTAGGCACAATGACCATTCTTACCAGGGAATGGTGGGAACCCTCCCCAAATCCAAGATCCCAGATGCCAGCCGTGGACTGACTTTGCAAGGAGGTTTTCTAAGAATAACAATCTTAGGCCTGCTATGTTAATTCTTTTCTGTATACTGTCATAAGTACTTATTTTGTTTTGTTTTCTTTTGACACAGAGTCTCGTTCTGTCACCTAAGCCCTGGAGTGCAGTGGCATGGTCTCGGCTTACTGCAAACTCTGCCTCCCAGGTTTCTAGCAATTCTCGTATTTCACCCTCTCAAGTAGCTGGGATTATAGGCGCATGCCACCACGCCTGGCTAATTTTTGTATTTTTGGTAGAGACAGGGTTTTGCCATGTTGGCCAGGCTGGTCTTGAACTCCTGACCTCAGGTGATCCACCTGCCTCAGCCTCCCATAGTGCTGGGATTACAAGCATGAGCCATTGCATCCAGCCATAAGTACTTCTTTAATTAATCAATTTGTGGTGGTTAAAAGTGGACCCATGGGAGTGGATACTGAACAATTGCCCTTTCTTCCCCATCTTGTTTTGAGGAAGCAAAGAATATATGGCAAACTTTTTTATTTCTGGAAGCTCTCCATGAGTATCTTCCCTCCCTGTAAATAACCTTGGCAAGCAGCCTGGGTAAATTTCTTGCCTCTCCCAATTACTGCTTTACTCTGTTCTGTTCTGTTCTGTTCTTATAAAGTATAGTTTTTATTTCTGATAAACTAGTTTACTTTGGGAAGTATAGCAATCTGCTATAATATTGTGATGCATTTTAGAAGAGATTCTAGAAGCTTTCCATTATAGTTAAATACAATCTGTGTGCTGTTCAGATAGCTTTCATCATAATTAATATTCCAGTATTTTGAATACTTCTTGAGGAGGAGTCATTTGGAGTAGGAACAATATAGGCTCGGACCAACAGATAACTGGGCTTTTGAGTCTGGGCTCTGCTAATCACTAGTTGAGGTACTTTGCACCTGTGTCTTAAACCAATCTGAACTTCTGTTTCTTTATAAAATGGGATAATGATAGTGCCTAACTCATACATAAGGTTATTGTGAAGATTAACAAGATACTAAGTATAAACCATTTAGCATTGTATTGTTCATATGCTGAATATTAGTGGTGGCTGTTACTCTTATCATCATCTCTACATGGGGATAACAGTACCTACACTGCAGGGTTATTGGAAACATTGCAGGCACTATCAATCAATGGTAGCTCTTATTGTTAATAATGTTTCTTTGGTACAAGGGCATTATTTCCAATCTACTTTGCTTTATGAAGAGAGAGCTATATTTTTCTTGCTTTTATAGGGTATTTCAAGATTGCCAAGATGGTGAGATATTTTGCTGTTTCACTGACTCGATAATTTTTATTGCCTTTTCAAACTACATACTGTAATTGGTGTAGCTTCCAGTTCTATAAATTTCTGTCTGATTCGGTTGTTTTCCTGCTTACTGTACTTCTGTAGCAAACAAGAAGCAGATGATGTAAATCATGAAATGGGCAGATGAAGGTCTTTATGGGGTTCAGATTGCCCAGTTGAAAAAGAACTTCTATCATAAATCCATTTGCTATGTAAGATTAAGCCCGAACTGAATTTGTATTCTGATACAGCATTGTGATATTTCGGTTTCAGAGATACAAATGCATTACTGAACCATTCTAGTCCCTGAATTTTTTTCCCCCTAAAAGAAAGAGTATGTATAGTTTAATTAGCTATATTTGGTTTGGGATCATATTGTTCAGGGCCTGTCTTATTGAAAAATAGCTTGTAAAATTATATTCATTGACATAGCAAGATGATACTTTTAATTATAGAGCAAGAAAGAGTTTCTTGTGACCCAAAGGGAACACAAGATTTAAAATCAGTTTTACTGGGATATTTACGTATGTGAAATTCACTTGGCTGGGTGTGGTGGCTCACACCTGTAATCCCAACACTTTGGGAGGCCGAGGCAGGTGAATCACCTGAGGTCAGGAGTTCGAGACCAGCCTGGCCAACATGGTGAAACCCCATCTCTACCAAAAATACAAAAATTAGCCAGGCGTAGTGGTGGGCACCTGTAATCTCATCTACTTGGGAAGCTGAGGCAGGAGAATTGCTGGAACCTGGGAGGCGGAGGTGCAGTGAGCCAAGGTTGTGCCATTTTACTCCAGCCCAGGCCAACAACAGTGAGACTGTGTCTCAAAAAAAAAAAAGAAAAAAGAAAAATTCACTCTTTTTAATATATACCTTTAATGAGTTTTGAACAACTCATATACTAACCACTACCACTGTTAAGCTAATGAGGTGTGAGGGTATGACGTATGGTTTGTAGATACAGTATGACCAAAAATAGTTTTTTTCTGATTTAAAATTTAAAAATGACTTTCTAGGCAGTCTGTCATGAAAAGAAAAAAAAAAGGTAGTCAAGCTTACTTACCTTTCTTGATATTAATCTCCTTCCTTCCTTTTCAAAATTTTTTCATTTCATAAGGCAAACATATTTATGTTATATAATTGGCTTAGCCAAATGGGAGTTAACTTTTCTAAAGATAGTCTTGGTAGATTTCATTTAAATAGAAAGTATAAGCTTATAGCCTATTATTTATAACCTAGAAATTTACTGAAACTCTCGAATTGTAAAGCTATAAAATGATAAACCAAAGCAATATAACTTTAAAAATAGCCAAGACACAACTTTTTACAAGACTTTTAAAAGCATTTTCTTACTAAGTAATGTGATTCAAGCTCAAATAGTCCTAGCAGTTTCAGAATTATTATGCATAGGTACTGGTTCTTCATCTCTTACATAGGCTTATGTATGCATAAAACATTATTTTTGACACTCAAAATAAACAATGAAATTTACCTATTTAATGTCAAGCCTGTATTTATTTTTTGCTGTATAACTACTCAATTCTGAGTTGAACTTGAAAGAAGAAAACATGGATTTTATTTTCAGCTGAAATGAAGCAGTTTCTTTTCTTGCTCGCACACATGTAAGAAAGTCAAAAACTGCGGCAAATGTTCATTGCTTTCCTGTGACTATCAGGGCATTCTTTTTTTTATGGAAATCCAGAACATGTTTAGGGGCCAAGCAGTTAATATCACCTGAAGTGTATGGTTATGTTTACAAACAACTTTAATCAGGTATAGTTTTAATTCAACAGACCTACATATAATATAATTTCAATGATAATGGCCCCTAAAATTTTTTCAAACTTTTAAAATAATTTCAAAATGAACTAACTTATATTTTCAAAGCCTTTCTCGTAAAAGCTTGAGGAACCCATGTTCTTCAACTGCTAATCAATTGCTAGCTAAAATAAATGGTATATGTATTTTAATATTTTACCACAAGTTCTACCTCTAAATGTAACTCAGCAATTCAAACAAATAAATGGTATCACCATGACCTGTTATCTATGTGCAATGCAAATTGCAAAGATTTTCTATTGCCAGATTTTCAAGACACATTTCATGTGTTATCTGCCATCTACCAAATATTGTAGCCAGTTTGAGCAATATCTTTATCTTAAATTGTGTTAAAAATTATCTCAAAATAATGCAAAGCATTATCAAGTATATCTTTTTTTATTATATTTTGGCAGCACAAAGAAATATATACTCAAAACAAATTTGGATGACAGAGAAAATCAGATACGTACCAGATATGCAAATTTAATTACAAGTATGATAAAAATGGTGAAAACTAGCAATGCGTATATTATCAAAATGTATATATATTATCATATGTATGTATTATGATGTGATAATGTTGAGTTTGCATTTTAGACACCTCAATGAACTCTGTCCTGAAAGTGTAGATAAAAAAAATTATGTATTCCTTGTTCATGACATTTAATTTTCAAAGCACCAAGACAACATAAGGACTGACCTTTCATTGAAGTACCAGTGCCTGTGACAAGCATCTATAAAATATTATCTAAAAATCAAACAAACTTAATAAGCAAATTCAAATTACAGTGTTTTCAGAAGATACAATCCTTAGTGATTTTCTGAGAAGGCTTTGCCTCTTTAACGTTCTGGTCTAGGTGATGATACACTACTATTTTAGAACAAAGACCATCATGCCATTTGCCCTTTTGGACCAAAAGAAAAATTTTCCTTTTGCTGTGGTATATGATGTAAACAATAGCAATTTTTTTTTAAAGCAGAAATAATGAGACAAAAAAGGAAATGGCAGCCTTCCTCTTCTCTTTGTGAGGACAGGGTCTTAAAGGATTTCCCTGACTTCAAGTTCCTTCCATGTGACCCCAGACTCCTCATCCATTCATAGTCTGGTTCTCCATAATCTCCATTGTCCAGAGTGCCTTTGGCCACACACAGAACTAGTCAATGTGAGAAGATCCTACTCCTTGCAGGGATCTCCATTTTTATCAGCTT